ACAGTTGAAAGCCTACAAATCAATCATTTAGGAAAATATTTTTAAAAGTAAGTCTAAAGAAAATAGAAGAAAGAAGGTAACAAAATTAAACAAAAAATTAATCAATTAGATAGCAGGGAAACAATTTAAAAGCCATTTCTTTGAAAAATTCAATGAAATAAGTAATTGACAAGCATAATGCACAAAAAAGACAAACACAATACACCAAATTAGGAATACAGACGAACCATAATAAGAAACACTAAGTTTGGATGCTCCAAGTTTATAAAGCTAAAATTATTATTTTTTTAATCTAAATTTTTGGCCAGCACGGTGGCTCATGCCTGTAATCTCAGCACTTTGGGAGGCTGAGGCGGGCTGGATCACAAGGTCGGGAGATCAAGACCATCCTGACTAACACAGTGAAACACCATCTCTACTAAAAACACAAAAATTAGCTGGGCATGGGGGCGGGTGCCTGTAATCCCAGCTACTCGGGAGGCTGAGGCAGGGAATGACGTTAACCCGGGAGGCAGAGCTTGCAGTGAGCCGAGATAGCACCACTGTACTCCAGCTTGGGCGACAGAGCAAAACTCCGCCTCAAAAATAATTATATATATAGGTGTAAATTTTTCTAGAAAAAGTACAAATTTTCAAAGTTAAATTAATAAGCATATACTTTTGAAAAACTACAATGAGCAATCAAAAGCTTTTCAAAGTATTACTTTTCAAAAAGACTAAGACATTCTTTCCAACGTAAAAGGAATAGATAATTCTTATGCTATAAAAATTGTTCCAAGACATTAATTAAGTAGTTTTCTAGTTAATTTTATAAAGCTGCATAATCCTGATATCAGAATTTGACAAAGATGGCAAAATACAAAAAAAGACGAAATTGTATTTTTAAATATATTGTATTAAAAATTATGTTCAAGACTTGTTATAGAAAAATGGATTCAATGCCAAAGAAGTGTGAAATAATCATCCCCTGTAGAAGTTCAACAATGTACACCATCATATTAAAGAATCTATGATTCTGCAGTTATAAGTGTTATTAACTCAACTTATTCCAAAATTATTTGGACAGAAAACACATTTTTATATTACACTTACTAATATTTAAATGTTATATGCCTCTAATGCCTGACACGTAGTAGGTCCTCAATAAACTTTAGTTTGTTTGTTCATTTGTTTGTTTGTTTTACCCTCTCTCATTCTGTTTTCAAGTGCTGAGCTTTCATACCATGGAGAGTCGATGGCATTGATCTTCATAGTGACTATTCAGGCCTTTCCTAGATTAGTATGACTGACTACAGAGCTGACTAAAAATGTTATTCTCGACAATGTAAAAGTAAAGGTACAGCTAGCAGAAAGAGGGAGATGGAAGAGAGTTTGAAGACCTGGAGAGAAGTTAGGAAGTTCTAAGTTCTTCATTTTGCAAAATGCACATAGTGACCTGTGTACTTAGTTACCTTACTATGTACAGAGAACAGAAGAACAACGGAGGATTTGTGAGTGACATTAGTACCAATCTATCAGAGTAGACAGTCAACAGACATTGCCCAAAGTTGGTAAATCAAGACTAGTCATATGAGCATACATTTAAAGATATGAAAGTGACCTTCGAAAAACCAACAAACAAGCCAGGCACAATGACTCACACCTGTCCTCCTAACTATTTAGGGGGCTGAGGCAGGTGCATGGCTTGAGCCCAGGAGTTTAGAGACAACATAGTGAGACCTTTGTTTCTAAAAATAATAATTAAAAAAAAAAAAAAAAAAGAAACAGGAAAAGAAAAGCCCACAACCGAAACTAGTGAGTAGTTAGTTGTTGCCTTTGAGGAATAGAAGTCAAGGTGGGGTAGAGGGCTACTACTTCTCATTTCAAATTTTTTTCATTTTTTAAACCATGTATATGTTTTAGTGTGTTAAAACTTTTCTAATAGCGATGTCCAAATTTTGATTTTTAGCAGAGTTAGTGAAAGCCAGTGATTTAGGGTATAGATTAAAGAAGGCACAACATGGCTTTTTCAACCTGATAACCTTCAGTTTAAGTCTTGGCTCTACCAACTGCTAAAACTGATTGGCTTTGGACAAACCACTAACTCTTTAAGGCTCAGTTTGTTTCTCTGAAAATGTCAGTAATAATACCTTATACATAAAGCTATTTTAATCTTTAAAACTGAGAATGTCTAAGGCATTTAGCACACATACAGAGGGTACTTAATATAAATTGTTTCATTTAATATAATAGTGAATATGTTATTATCAAGTATGTGTCAATTCTCAAGTATATGTCTCAAGTATATGTCAATTTATCTCTTGAATCTCTCTTTATGTACAAGTATAGGTATAGGTATGTAATATTTAAGTGTAAATTCTATAAATACTATAAATTCTATAAATACTAATGGTCGAGCAGTTTTTAGAGGCTTCAGAATGTTTATTTTTTGTTTGTAGTAGGAATCATGATGTAATGAAAGAACCCAGTAATGGCTTTCACACACCCACATTGGGAAAGTCATTTAATCCAATTTAAGTCCCCCTATAAAATGACATTGCTGGAGCTTTACCTGTCAGAAGGTTATAGTGAATCAGATGTTGAGTGGGGATGCTGGTCACCTCTAGGGCCCATGGCTGCAGAATAAGAGAATAATGTTGCCCATTAAACTGGGAGCAATTGTGGGATCCTACACAGTAATTACAGCTCTACCTCAAAAGTTTGGTCTTGGAACTGAGGGAATTTCCTTGACTTCTGAAATGGAGCTTGGTTTGTTGAAAAAAAGAAAAAAAACTAATCGTGCTTTCTGAGGCATAACAAGTCTGCTTACCTCTGTCAAATGAGTTTACTTATCTAAAATATGAGCGTTCCTCTTAGTAAATTCAATTTCCTGCTAAATGATACCCTCATTTGTTATACAGCTGAGTTTAATATGTGTAATTCCACCGTAAAATTAATGGTTGTGCATAAAAATATGCTTCCTTTAAACTGACCTTCAGTTCTTTCATAAAAAGATCATTATTTATTCATCCTTTGTGTTGTTTTTTATTTTTCAAGTTATTCAAGAACAGATTGGAAACTATTCTGTTTGGAAATTTACTTGCAAAGAAGTTTTTTCTCAAGGTATTGTGACAAAAAGCCTTGAAAAATAACGAGGATGTAGGAGGCAGGATTAAGACTTTGAAGTTTAATTATATCTCTACAAAGAAAACTCTTGGCAAGTGTACTCACTCACCCATTCAGTAAATATTTATATGGGTAAGATTCATACAGGGATGACAAAAACGATTCTTGCTCATAAGCTAGCAGGGGAGCAGCAGGTCTGAAGTAGGCCTGCTGGAAACGAAAGTGTAAATAAAAATTAAAAAGTCTTTATTTTCAAAAATAGCAAAATATAAAACAATTGAACATCACCAATTCAAATAAATTGACAAAGTTAATATACATTTAGAGAACATTTCCTTCTTTCTCCAATTCCAAATTTTCCATCTCCTTTTTTCCCATTAGTATTTGCAAGATTGATATAAAATTTTAAAAATGCAAATGATTTTGGTTGTACTGTATGATCACTTCACCTGAAGGAGCAGTGGCTTGCACCTGTAGTCCTAGTCCTAACTACTGGGGAGACTGAAGCACCTGCATCGGTTGAGCTCAGGAATTGGAAGGCAACATAATGGGGCAACGTGAATGAGGCCGCCATATCTTTGAGCTGGGCCTTCTTGTTGAATTTAGGCTTCAAGAAATGCCTCAGACTGCTCTGGTTGGAGTGTTCTGTTGACTTGTGCTGATTGTTCTAAAGGCTACTAAAATTGTGTTGCAATTCCAGGTTTCCATAATTCTAAAGGATTATCTTTGATCATCAGACTTAAATGTTTTGGGCTTCTTTGTTAGCACTACAGTATTTCAAAATATAAATCAACAACATTTGGAGAAAACAATATGCTAAACAAATTATTTGTGTGGTTTATAGTAGTTGTTGATGACCTGCATGGTACTGAAATACACAATGAAGACAACTATAGGAGCAAACTGATTCAGTGAAATAAAATAATGCAGAGACATTACAAATGACAGTAGCAGTTTAATGTAACATTATAGGGTCATGTTGGTATGGTGGAAAGATAACTTCAGATTTAACCTGGTTTTAATCCTCTCTGAGCCCCTCCAAGGTTAAGCAATGTATCTAACCTCTCTTAGCCTGTTTCATTGCAAAATGGGGATTCAGATACTAAGAGTGCTATACAGATTAAGTAACGCAATTTTTGGTGTGGCTGGTACATAGTAGAATTATGGGTTCCCATTGTAACCTTGAAAATCTCCTGAGTAAGTAAGGGTCCTCCTGTGCATTTGAAGGACTCTGTGGCCTCATTTAGGCTGCAGTGTCCTTCAGGTTATCTTTTCTAATCCAACTTTTCCTTTTATCTAGTCTTCTCCGGATTGTACCGGACTAACAGAATGCGGACAGAATTGGATGGTGAGCCAGTAGTAGCTCAACAGGATACCTCACTAGGGTGGTCTCTGTCTTAAGTCTGCTTTTCTTGGAAGGATTAAGCCTTTCTTTACAGCTACGGTGGAGGAGGAAACATATAGTACATAATAGAGCTAAAGATTAAAGATTTTTGACTGCTGAACCTACCAACCCCCATCAGAAGAGCACCAGGAAGTCAGGAAAGAAGAAACTCTCGGCCGGGCGCGGTGGCTCACGCCTGTAATCTCAGCACTTTGGGAGGCCGACGTGAGCGGATCACGAGGTCAGAAAGTCGAGACCATCATGGCTAACACGGTGAAACCCCGTCTCTACTAAAAATACAAAAAATTAGCCGGGCGTTGTGGCGGGCCCCTGTAGTCCCAGCTACTCCGGAGGCTGAGGCAGGAGAATGGCGGGAACCCGGGAGGCGGAGCTTGCAGTGAGCCCAGATTGCGCAGCTGCACTCCAGCCTGAGCGACAGAGCGAGACTCTGTCTAAAAAAAAAAAAAGAAAAAGAAAAAGAAACTCTTGGCTTGACTTTTTCAGTTGCAGGGAAACAGAGCTATCTGGCAAACTGTCCCAGTGGCAACTCCCTGCGCAGGAGTCCTTCGGCCCTGTGATGCGGGCAGGTGGAGCACCAAAAGGTACCACACTCAGACTTCCCATCACTCATCCATCACTCTCTATTCCTGTTGTAACACCTACATTTATTGTAGACGTTCAGAAATTCACCTTTCAAACATGTTTTAGGAACACGTCATGTATATAAGTAGGAAGTTGCTTACATATATTAAATTAGGGGCAGCATTATATTTAACAATAGTTTTAAATTCACTGAATTCATAAAAGAACAATAAGGCATGTTAACATCAATTTTATTACTTTACAACCGTAGTCACTTATAGCGCCACACAAAAAGCACATGTAAATGAATAGTAGGAGAGCTATTAATTCAAAATTCTAATCCCCAATATAATTTGCTGCTATACATTTCTATATAAATTACTGTATTTCAAAGAAAAGGAGATACTTAAAATGAAATCTTCCTCTCCATGTTCTGCTCCATCCTAAGTTCATTATTAAAATACACAGATGAAGACAGCTATGGGAGAAAATACTATAGAAGTAATACTTGAAGGAGCCCAAGGTATGAGTTAATTTTTAGCAGTATTTTCTTACTCTAGACACATGACACAGTTCAGAAATTACTTTGAATATAGCCATGTGTGGCAATAGAGACAATTGTTCTAGAAGTACAGCTAATATATATCAATAAGCACAAGGCAAAATAAAGTGAAATAAGTAAATGATATAAAAAATTCATATAAATTAAAAAGTTCAAAATTAGTTTTATCATCTGCATCTTCCATTATATGTTTCAGTATATTTGTTATCAGTTATATTATCTAATGCCTAGGGCCAAAAACAAAGTAGACATTTTTTGAAAGGAGAAAGAAATTACAAATTTAGAGCTCTTTTGATTACAATTTATTTGTTTGCAAAATGTCCACCAATTAGAACACATGACTTCCGGTTGTCATGTTTCTAAAGTTGAGTTTCCTTGCCTGGCCAGTATTTGGGTTGTAGCAGATGATCACTTGTTGTGCAATTTTCCTTTTGGAATCTTGTAGACACCATAGTTTTTTCTCTCTTCGTTATAAAACTTCTGTGTTTTGAAACATAATTTTTCTTTAAAATGAAAAGTACTGCAATGCTTAGGAAAATTGACACTGTGCCCAGTATCACAGTTAGTCCCAGATATATATGTCTAGAAGAAGAGAGAATCTCTGTTAGAATTATTGCAACTACCCAACTTCAGAGAAATTTTAAAAGGTAAGTAATAATATCATTCTGATGCTTTTCTTTAAGAATGCAGATTTGGTGGTTTATATAAAAGACGATTTTATGAATACTGACAGGCCGTTGAAGGCAGTTTATAAAATAAAGCAATGTCTTAGTAGCACCATCATTTTCAGTTACTACTAATTACATAATCAGTTTTATCCTTTCTGTAAATTATTTCCTTAGACCAGGTAACCATATCCCTGTTTGCCTAGAACAGTCCCGGTTTATGCTGGTGTTGGCCCAGTGTAATTTTTATAGTGCTCCTTTTCACATTCAAAAGTACCCAGTTTTGAATGATAAATTATGTGGCTACCCTATCCTCAGACCTTTCCCAACTTCATTTCTTTGGAAAACTTGCATGAAGCAATGCTAAGGGGAATTGGAGCTCTGAGTAAAGCAGAGTGATTTCAGAATAAACCAGTTATTTAAATCAGTTTATTTCATGAGAAACCTATAGTTCTATGCTTTCTCAGAAGATGCTAAGGTATGGAAGGGCAGGTTGCATGTCTCATTCTGGTTACCTTGAAAACATACTCTCAATCTCTGATGGAGTTGCATTGTCTCTACATTACAGTTAATACAGCCTTAGCAAAACTGTGGGGAAATCCTAAATTATACTCACAGATTGGGTCCCTTTCAAAAACCAAAATAAATTTCACGCATAGCATCAAAACCTATTAACTCAAACAGATTTATTTGAAATGGTGTACCCAATTCACATCCAACCAAGATGGTTCAGTACCAGGTTTATTTCTCTAGAAAATGCTCAGCTTGTAAGTCTTTTAAACAATCTTTCTTGCTTTTAAGCCATTGAAGCATTGCTTTAAGCAATAAGGGACTAAATGTTTGATGAGCTGAACTGAATGACACCATAGTGAAAAAGCCATGCCACTCAACCCCCATATACACTCACCCACACAGAGAAAACCTTTTACTTTTGTGCATTTCAAGTACGAGAATAATTGAACATCAGTTTGGCAATAAAAGCCGGACAGATTTAGAGCCAAATCCAACTCTTGCCCAGGGGGATTATATCTGACGTAAGTGGTACAGTTTGGCTCAGTTTGAAAAAGAATAAAATCAAACCCAAAATGTGACCTAAATTTAAATGCCTCTGAATTTCAGGGAAATACTTGCCCATTTGTGTGCATAAACTTTCAAAATTCTACTCTATTCTGGACACTTTTGTCATATTTTAAAAATGATTACTCATTAAAATGGGAGTCAAGGTAATGAATAGGGACAAAAATCAAAGATCTAATCAAATAATAATATAATTATTCTATGATTACAGATCACACTTTTTGATTAGACTATTCTTTACCTTACAAGCAGTGAAATGACATGAAAACTTGTTAGTGTCAGTGGCATTGTGTAAATCTGGGATGCTGTAGCAGTGAGATGCGGGAATGCTTTTGATTTGGTACCTGAAGACATTTGAATCATATAATCTGCATGATCCTCTACTTCCACATCTTTTAAATCCCCATTTGAGGCATGAAGTATCAATCAAAACTCCAAAATATACTGGAGCTGGGATTCCTGCTGTGAGAAAAACAACTGCTGTTAAAAAACATGTGCACATCTTTTTGTCTATGAATGATTATCTGAAACCACTTACTTTAATTTAATTGCTGTTTTGGAGATGAAAGACCATCAATTACATGCTGAAATCTCCAAAACCTCTCTCTAATCCAGTCTTTTCTCATAAGCTCCAGAATCATGCAGTAACTACCATTTATTTTTCTCCAGAAGCATGTCACTCAGGTGCTTCAAACTCAACATGAGCTCAACTTCTTCCCCTATAGACCTGTCCCTTTATCAGTGGAAGCCCAGTCATTAAAGCAGACTTGGGAGTCATCATTGAGCCTTCTTTCTCTCCTCTGTCTGGCTATCAGTATATTTAATTTATCCCTCAAACATACCAATTCTACCTACTAGGTATATCTTAAACAGTTTCTCTTCTTTCCATTTCCACTGCCACTCCTTCTACTCTAACATAAAGCAACAGCCAATTCATGATTTCTTGGCTTCCTTCATTAACCTTCTCGAATCTATCCATCATACAGAGGTTGCATCACTAAATTAAGTAGGTGACTTCCCAAGACATCGCTTCCAAAAGAAGAATAGTTAACTGAACATTGGGTTATTCTACTTTTGTGGCCTCGCTTTGGGCAAGATTGTTGTCTTATATTTCAGAATGCAATTTTCTTGGATTTCTTTCAGTGACTAAAATGTTCTCTCCTCTTGTCTCAATGCCTTGTGTAGTTTCCTTTATCCCAAGCAATACTTTTCTCTTCTTTACCTTCTTAATACACACTCACTTTTAAAATCTCAGTTTGAACGTTTTCCTTCATGGTAGGCTATTTTGATGAACTAAACTTGTTTTACATCTCATAAAACTTTTAATACTCCTGTAATAGCTTGTCGAATTGCTTTCTCTGCTAGACTATAAGCTCATCGTGGTAGGAAACCTGTCCTCCTTTTTCAAGCTATAAACCCTCAGAAAATGTTCAGAATTTAATTCCTCCTTAGGAGAAAAGGTATCTCTCGTGTACAAATATTAATGAAAGTATCTTAAGCAGTTGTTCATAGCTCAGGGTATATTTTACATGTTCTAAATTGGTGGTTCATTAACATCCGTTATTTAGTTCTCTTAAGAACTATATTGTCTGGCAGTTCATGGTCATAGTTGGCTGGAGTTGAGCAGGAGCTGCCTCCATGCCTCACTCCTCACCCGCTGCCTACACTTGGAGTCCACCACGAGTCCATACAGCTTTCTCTCTGCCTACATCACTCATTTCCATCAATAGCCTGCTTGTTTCCGGCATTTGAGTTTTAACCTTTTTATATGTTTTCTTCGGTTATAAAATTGCTTTGTAGGCTTATATTGAACAAAATAATCTCATTAAATTTTTAAAATCATCTAATAATATTTATGACACTTCTAAATTCCAGAGATTATCCATTTGTTATTTGAAAACAAATGAAAATATTTAAAAATATTTTCTGGCCAGGCGCAGTAGCTCACGCCTATAATCCCAGCACTTTGGGAGGCCACTTTGGGAGGGTGGATCACGAGGTCAGGATAGAGACCATCCTGGCTAACATGGTGAAACCCCATCTCTACTAAAAATACAAAATAAAATTAGCTGGGTGTGGTGGCGGGTGGGTGTACTCCCAGCTACTCAGGAGGCTGAGGCAGGAGAATGGTGTGAACCCGGGAGGCAGAGCTTGCAGTGAGCAGAGAGTGCACCACTGCGCTCCAGCCTGGGCAACTGAGCAAGACTCCATCTCAAAAAACAAAAACAAAAACAAAAAAACCCACAAATATATATATATACACACACATATATTTATGTAAAGGTTTACCTAAACTTTGCAAATACTCATGTAAAAAATTGATTCAATCCAGACTCATCGGTGGCTGCCAAAGTTTTGAGTGAAAGATTTTTGGGAAACAGAATGGCGACATAATCTCGAAGTGTCAAATTATAGATGACTTATTAACTGCAGAAGGATTTTTACGATGGAGAAAACTGGTGGATACCACCTTCACCAAGGGACCAAAATTAAAATTCCAATGATGGTATAAACTGAATTGATGTGCTTCTTGATGTGATTTATTAAGCATCGTGCAAATCATCTGTGTAGTATTGCCACCAACAATATTTTACCTGGACATACTCAAAAGCAAACACATCCAATAGGTGGGATATTTTACAAAACAACTGGCTTTGCCTCTTGAAAAAAAAAATGTAAATGTTGCAAAAGAACAAAAAAATAAGAATGAGGAATTTTTGGAGATAAAAGGGTAACTAAACACAATATGTGGTCTTTGACTTTGGATCAAAAGAGAAAATAAAGCACTACAGAAGACACTATTGTTATAATGAAAGAAATTTGAATGAGGAATTATATTAGACAGAGTAGCATATCAATGTTGAATTTCTGAAGTGTGAGAATGGTATTGTGGTTATACAGGACGACAGAATTGCTCTTGTAGAAGAATACAAGTCGAGGACTTTAGGACTGAAGTGTCAGCATGTTCACTACTTATTTTCAAATGATTCAGCAAAATATTTGTATGCTCAGATAAACAGAGGAGAGAGATTTCTGGTTTTTGGACACAGTTGATAAATCCCAGTAAGAGTTTTACAATTATTCATTGTCATTTAAATTTTCGTTTTGTAGATTTGAAATTTTCACAACAAATGGGAGAGAAAGAAAGAGGGTAGTGAAACCTATGGATTTAAAAAGATTTTAGCAATATATCACCTAAATGCAATTGTGGACCTTGTTTGGTTCTTGATTGAAATGTACATGTATGAGGAAACATCAGACACTTTAAAGAATTTGAGCAGTAATTGGGTATTTGCTAATATTAAGAAGTTATCTTTTAAGATACAAGAATCACCAGATTAAAACAAGTCATTATGGTTTTGATTAGAAGAGCACACCAAACATGTTATAGAAGAAATGCAGTAGTCTGAGACTTACTTCAAAATAAGCTAGTTGGGGTAAGTAGTTAGGCACACAGATGTCCTAAGATGAGCTGTGTGTTGATAACTGTTGAAATTGGGTAATGGATAAATGGGAGTTCATTGCTATCTTTGCTGTATACAAAGAAAGTTCTTGCTATCTTTGTATATGTTTACATTTTAAATAACAAACGAGTATAGGAATATCTAATTTAATCTATTTTGCATGAAACCCCATGAACAAGAAGAGCAGAAAATTTATCTAGTATTCAGTTTGGATTATTTGGTTCCTCAAAAACCAACCAAATAGATGATTTACCACTTAAAAAATCCAGGTGATAACCAATTTTACATTACCTTTAATGACGTGAAGACAAGCCAAAGATTCAAATGTTCTCAATTTTCTGTACATGGTTTAAGATTATTGTAATAGAACATTTTCAAAGATTCACAAAAGCAGAGAGAATGATATAATTAATCCTCATGTACCATCATAGCTTTGACAATTATTAATGTTTTGCCACTGCTGTTTCCTCTCTGTCTCCACTCTGAACTTTTTTTTTTTTTTTTTTGAGACAGAGTCTGCCTCTGTCACCCAGGCTGGAGTACAGTGGCACAATCTCAGCTCACTGCAACCTCTGCCTCCTGGGTTCAAGCAATTCTTGTGACTCAGACTCCCTGAGTATCTCAGACCACAAGCGTGCGCCACCATGCCAGGCTAATTTTTGTATTTTTAGTAGAGATTGGGGTTTAGCTATGTTGAAACCAGGCTGGTCTCGAACTCCTGGCTTCAAGAGATCCACCCACTTCAGCCTTCCAAAGTGCTGGGATTGTAGGCATGAACAACTGTGCCCAGCCTGAACTCTTGTTTTAATATTTTAAAGGCAATCTGAGACACCATGTCATTTCAATTATGTATATTTCAGCATGCATCTCTACTGATGACATTTTTTAAAAACATGATTGCTATGTCATTCTCACACCTAACACGTTTTGTAATACTTTCATAGTTTTATATAAAATGTAGTACATATTCAAGTTTTTGGATTGTCTCCAAGGATTTTTTAAAATTCATTTGTTTTTATAAGGATCCAAACCAAATAAATACATTTTATTTAGTTGATGACTCTTTATAGCAATATACACTCTTCACTTTTTTTTCTTACTAATGGTTTTTGAAAAAAAGACACCACCAAGTCCTATAGGATATGCCACAGTCTGGATTTCATTGCTTCTTTATAACATTATTTAATTTATTCCCCTATCATCCATCTTTCCTAGAATCTGGTAGTTAAGTCTTGTTAGATTCAGGTTCAATTTACTTCAGGCAAACGTACTGTGTATTTTTTTATTCTGTCCCAGTTAGAAGGCACATGCAACTTAGTTGCCACTCTTAGTAATGCTAAGATGGGCATGAAGTTCAGACTAGGCCACTCTGATCCCTCCATTATGAAGTTGTTCATCAACTTTCATCTAAAGCTTTTAACTATTTTTAAGGCCACAAGACAGGATTTTTTTTTTTAAATCTATACTTCTTACAGAAAGTATTTTTGGGTTTTTCTCTTAAAAGGAATTTTCCTTAATTGACTAATTTGGATACTTTGACATACAGTTAGTAGAAGAAAGGCAGGATAAATCATTTTTTTCTCCTTTATTTCTCAGTTTTCACAATAATGACTTGATGTCCTGATATTCTCCAAATTTTTAAAATATCATTATAAACTCATGTGTTTTAATATATTCTATGTATTTCAATAAACTGCAGCCATTATTGTTACTACTGCTACAACTCTTTTGAGTTTCAATTTATCTCACCTTGAGGCCAATCTCCTCAAATTGGTTCTGTTCCCTTGTGATATATCCTTCTTAGGCTGTGATAGTGCATTCATTTTCTAGTATAAAAAGATGTCCCATAATCATCTTATGCATTTTCTACCCTAGGCCTTGAACCAGTCATTTCTCCAAGGTGCCATATCTTTTACTGTGAGATTATATTTGTATATCACAGATTAAGTGTTGTGGTGTTCATTTTTTCTGGGTTTCAAAGTTTCTAGAGTTTTCAGGAGATGGAGCTATAAAATACACATTATTTTAAAATAAAAATATGTGAGTTCATATTGATGTTTTAAGTTCAAATTTAAGAATGAGATTTATTTACTTTTTTTTTTTTTTTAGATGGAGTCTTGCTCTGTCACCCAGGCTGGAGTGCAGTGGCACGATCTTGGCTCACTGCAACTTCTGCCTCCTGGGTTCAAGCGATTCTCCTGCCTCAGCCTCCCTAGTAGCTGGGATTGCAGGCACGCGCCACCACGCTCAGCTAATTTTTGTATTTTTAGTAGAGATGGGGTTTCACCATGTTGGCCAGGCTGATCCGAACTCCCAACCTCAGTTGATCTGCCTGCCTCAGCCTCCCAAAGTGCTGGGATTACTCGCGTAAGCCACCACACCCGGCCTTTAAATTTTTAAATTTTATTCTTGTATCACTTTTCTATTTTACTAAAAATATTGATTCCAAGTAATCTTAACATATTTCAATTGCTTTATCTTAAATACATAATAGTTTCAATATAAAAATATTGATATTAGTACTAATAATAACTACAAATCCAGCTAATCTATAAGGATTTGGTAAAAACTTTTATTTTTTAAGGCATTTAAAGTTTTTCATGTATGCTTATTTAAGCAACATATGCTTACGTTAAACAGTTTCAGTTTAATATTTGGTTATTTTAAATTTTATTTTCAGTTATATTAAAACTTTATATAATTTTGATTAAACAATCACATAAAAAGTTACGTTTACAAAGTCTTACTTCCATCCTGAACTTTATCCCTCTTCCCTTTCTTCTCCTACAGGTATAACCATTTTTTTAAATTCATTTTTAGTTTATGCTTCCATTGTTTCTTTTATAAAAAAGAGCAAAATGCCTTTGCACATGCATATAATGTTTACACCGTTCCACACATAACACCAAAAACATCATACAATAAAAATTGTTCTCCATTTTGCTTCTTTTTACGTAATACTATATAGTGGAGATCGGTTGGTAACATTAGATAGATTTTCCCCATTCATCCTTACAGCTCTGTTATGTGTGTGTACTACAGTTTATTCAACCAATCTCCTACCGATGGACATTTAGGTCACTTCCAGTTTTTTGTTATTATAAAAAGTCACAATTATTGCACCTATTCATAATGATTAAATTTATTTTATAATTTTTGCTAGCAAATTTTTGGTATAATTCTTAGAAGTAAAGATATTAGGTTAAAAGGTAAATATACATATATATGTAATTTTACCTGTTATTGCCTAATAAAGAACATCATTTTCCAAACAGCAATGTGTAAGCATAATCTATTTTTCCATACATTGCAAACAAAATTTGGCAATTTGTCAACCTGATAAGAAAGGTGGTTCTAACTTGGCTCTTTTTATGAGTGGATTTGAGCATCTTTCTATATATTAAATGGCAATTACATTTATTTTTTCATGAAAAATTCACATCTTTGGCTCATTTTTCTACTTTGTTGCTTGTTTTTTTCTTCTCAAAACTTAGGATTTTCTTTATAATAGGAATATTAGGCAATTGTCTGTTACATAAATTGCAAGTTCGTCATTTGGCATTTGACTTTGCTTATGATACTTTTGCCAATTTCAAATATTATTTTTGTCAAATCAATTTTGTAAACCATTTGTTTATGTTGGAACAATTTTTGCTCTGTAGGCTCCATCTGTATTCCCAAAGACAGGTAGATATGGGGGCCAATTCTTGCCAGGCATATACTACAGGCTCAATATATGACATTTTTCTAGCTAATACCTATTTTCATATTGTAGAATTAGGGCCAGTCATGATGCCGCATAACCCTATTTTTGTTTCTTTTTCAATGTTGTCAGGATTCTATTATCTTGCTATGCAACCATTTTACAACAATATCTATGTAAACCAAATTTAATTTCAGATTTTTTAAGCTTTGAGTTTGTTCTTGTTTCTGGGTTGTTCCTTTCTGACAAATGGCAGTGAAATATTCAACATTATTTTATTTTATTCTTTATTATATAAACTCTTTAAAGATAAAACTTTAAGGATAAAAACCTTATTTGTCTCATTCACTGTTTAAGGATAAAACTCTTTAACAATAAAACTGTTTAAGGATAAAACTCTTTAAGCATACAAACTTTGTGTCATTCACTGTTTCCTATGGGTTTTAACCAATACATATTTAAAAATTTGGTAGTCACAAAAAACATTTCAATTGCAATTTAAAGTATGACCTACTCAAATTTATTTGCTTGGTTTAAATAATACCTTATCTTTCTCCCTAATGACATAAGGGATAAGCATTGAGAGTAACTCAAAATAATTATTTCCATTTTAGGAACTGAAAAAATTATATTTAGGCTTCAGCCTTTCTTACTCATTAATTTATGAGAGCTGTCTTGTGAAAGCCATGGGTTTTCTGAGAACACACAAGTGCTAGAAAAGGTCAGATTGTTAAACAAAAATTGTGATTAATTATTATTAATCTCACAAAATCTCTGTTATATCTGGAGCACAAAATAGGCAATACATTTCTGTAACAAAAGAAGAAAGGAGTCAAGAAAAGGAGGAAGGGAATAAATAAATTAAGAAAGGAATAAAAAAGACTATGAACTTTGCTACCTACAACATATATTTATGCATGGCAATTCTGTAAAAATATTTAGAAAAGTCTTCAAAATACACTTATGGTGGCTACCAGAAATTAAAGCATAGGTTAACTTACCAAGAACTCTTATTGATAATGTGTAGATACCCAAGGCAAAAGACTTAAGCTGTGGCTTAATACACCTAAAATCAACAAAAGCACCATTACAAGAAATATATGATGCATTAAAGCAAATAGAAATTTGAATGATAATCTGCCTAACATGCGTGAAATCATGTTAGAATTCAAGTGCCATTTATGTTGAACCCATTGTTGTGCTAACATAGGGAGGGCAGAATATGTAAAAGCCATATTCCATTCCATGCAATGCTATAAGAAGTTTATAATTAATATTTCTAGAAACTAAATCACCCATACATGTCATATTCATATGGTGCCGATAAAGTCAAATTTAAGTGTAATCACCAAAATGCAAAGATTCAGAATAAAACTCAAATTTCTAAGAAATTGTTAGAATTTGAAGCAACAATAAATAATTAATAGCCTACAATTTTTATGACTTTTTGTCTAAAAGCGCAGGGCCAAATTGATCAGAGTTGATATAATCACTGTGGCATGCTAAAAAGTTGTTGCTAAATAGAGGGAATTTTAAAAAATCAGAAAAGTGCAAAAACACCTAAATAATAAGAGTGTCATTAATATGACTGTAAAGCTTAAACTGATTGGCCTATGAAATTTAATAGTAATAATCATGGTGATATATAAAATAACTGCTGAGTGTTAACCACGGTATTAACTACTTCTTACATATTATATCTTTTAGTTTCTGTTTAAAAGAGGCAAAAAAAAAAAAAAAAAAAAGACACGCCTTTTCTTCTTCTGACATCAAAATTCACAATGGTTAATATGACGGACTAGTGGTTAGAAAGATGCTTTCTGTGGTAAGTAACCTGATTCTACACTTGGCACAATATAAGAAGATGTTGAAGAAGTAGCCACAGTGTTCTGGAAAGTCTAGGACCATGCTTTGCCATTTTGTCAAACTCAGGCTGCCATTTGTAAATGTAACTATCTCATGTTCTCCATGCTGTATTTCCCATGATTTGATGAAAGCTGTTTTGGGAATAGCAGGTTTGTGGTTAATAAGTTCTATTTTCTGTTTGTCATTTCTAAACAATTTCCATGATAAAAACTGTGGGAAATAAAAAAATGTACACAATACTTTGCTTAGTCTTACTTTAGGAAAAAAATTAGTATTCATCCTTAAATATATGAATTAATTTGAAAATCACCCCGTCCATCTCATAAATATATAGAAACATTTGCAAAGCTAAAGCTAGCTCAATTAGGTTGAAAATATTATAACTGAGGCGCCTGTTTTCAAAACTATTTACAATTTGGATTCATATAATTTTTACAGATGTATGATAGCATAATCAGTAAAAAAAAAAATTCGAGCACAAATTCTGCTTTAATATAAGAAAAACATTATAGGGAATTTGAATGGAGATATAAATACAGGAACAAGGAAATATGTAATGCTTGTCACTGTTAAAGTAGTTATACAATTCTCACTCAGGTGATGTTGGTTAACAAATCACTATGTTTTAGATCCCATTAATTGCATTAGAAAGTGAGTTACATTTAAAACCATTATTTTTAAAATAGAAATATTTATAATATACCAGAAATCAATATTTAGTTACTATTTAAACTTATGATAAAGATTTTATGTGTCAAATTAGAAATATGCAAGAAGCTACATACTTTTACAAATTTTTTTAGGGTTTTATAAGCAAAAATGGTTGAAGTCATTGTTATGGTCTGGCTCTGTGTTCCCACCCAAATCTCATCTTGAATTGCAATCCACATTTTAATCCCCGCATGTTGGGAGAGGGACCTCTTTGGAGGTGATTGGCTCATGGGTGTGGCTCCCTCATGATGTTCTTGTGATAGTGATTTCTCACAAGATCTGATGGTGTTGTAAGAGGTTCTTCCCTCTTCACTCTGTACGTCTCTCTCCTGTGCCTTGTGAGGAAGGACTTGTTTCCCCTCCCCTGACTATTGTAAGTTTCCTAAGGCCTCTCCAGCCATGCGGAACTGTGAGACAATTAAACCTCTTTCCTTTATAAATTATCCCATCTCAGGTATTTCTTTATATCAGTGTGAAAATGTAATAATACAGTCATTAACATCATGAATTAGGAGCCTCAATTTACCCAAAGCCATGAAATCCCCCACAGATAATTCCAGTCATGGCAAAAATATACAGATAAAGCAATATATATATATATAAAATAAATTCTAATATGATTGTATTAGATGAGCCTTAAAATATTTTATAAATTGTATTTCCTATGATTTGGTGAAACTGTATTTAATCTAAAATGCATGTTACCTATGCTAATTAATATTATCACCAGCGTTAGAAGTTGGATACTACATTTATTAAGCAACTCTAGTGATGTAGGCACTAACATTGCCCCCTAAACCAATAGTTTGCAAACATTTTTAACTAAGGAAACTTCTATTCAGCCATATTTTTGTATAAAGACCCAAAGTGCAATAACATATAAAAGTGAAACAAGGATTTGGGACAAGTTCCTTGGAAAAAACTAAGAGGAATCATAACGATCCACAGAAAAAAAATTTAAATCATTGCTCGAGATGATTGTGTCTTATATTAAAATTAGAATAGGGAGAATCAGTATTCACCTCAGAAGTAATATGTATCCAGGTATGCCACCTAGGGATAAAGTATAGGATGTGATGACTGAAATTACAAGGAAATACAGAAACATTTGGGGACATCCATTGTCTTTCTGACATCTTCCCACTATGCCTGAGGAATTTCCGGATTTAGAAGCTGCAATTCCCACACATGTGCAGTTGTAAAATATCTGTAACACAATAGGGAAAAGTCCAATTATTTCAGTAACATTTAAATAAAATTAAAGATAGTCATTTTAAAAATTTTTACAGCACCATAGCCATGCATTACATAAACAATGAGGAAATATTCTTTTATTTTTCTGTTTTAGAGTATATTGAGCAAAGTAAAATCTATACAGATACATTTCATTATCTAAATAGCAGATGGTTGATCTACAAACTACTAATCCTATACAACAATCTCAAAGCAAATCCTGCCTAATCTAACCATACCTTACCTCCTTCACTACCACTTCCAATTCTAAGTAACCATTATTTCTTGCCTAGATTGTTACAATGCTCCCTTTATGCTCAACTCGTTTCCACTCTTACCTAGCTAGAATCTGTTTTCCACCCAGTGAGCAAAGTGAACCTTTAAACATGACAGTCAGACTGCATCAATACCCTCAACCTGACGGTGGTTTCTCATTATACTTGCATGAAACCCCACATCCTTACAACAATTTACACTTTCTCCATCATGTAGCACCTGCATGCCACTCTAATCTCTCCATTCAGTGATCTTCCCTCTCTTCTTTTGTGTCAGCCACACACATGACCCTTGCAAAGGCCCCATTTTGCCCTTTCCAAACTTCCCCTCAAACCTGGCAAGTTTATCCATGCCTCATGGCCCTGCTATTTTCTCTGCCCAGGCAGCTCTTCTCCTTGGTGATTACACAGCTGGCATCCATACCTTAGTTCTCTTTACAGAGGTTTTAATAGAGAACTTCCATGACTACCCATTAAAAAAAAAAAATAAAACTCCCATCTCTCCATTTTCTTATTCTAATTTACATCTTTTTTTACAGGGCTTCTTGCTGCTTATCAGGATATCCTATATTTACTTATTTTTAAAATATACTTTCCCAACAGAATGTAACCTCTATGAAAGCAGAAACTGCTGCTTTGTTACTATGCAACCAGGGAATGGAATAGGCTCTCATCTTAGGCATTTGACAAAACTTGGTTAAGTAAATGGGCACAATTTGAGGATGTGACATAATTTACAGTGGCTATGAGAAAAAAATGATTCTGGTGCATAAAACTAAACTAAATTTTGACTGAAGAGAGACCATTTGTATAACCCAATAGTTTATTATTGAGTAAACTCAATAGTTTATTTCTGTAAATTTTATTTATGAACGTGTAATATAATGTTATCATTTTAATCACAAAAGAGTTTGTGAGTTTTTAGACAATAAATAAAGCTGGCATTTCCTTTTCTAAAATAGTAGTAATATAGATTTTTTGTAATGTCAAGTTGAAACCTTTGAATCTTAATTCTGGTTGCCCACTAGGTAACTGAGTTAAGCAAGTCCTTTGTATCTCAGTGCCTCAGTTCTCATATGAAGAAAATACTGAAAATAATGCAAATTATTTTAGGACCATGAGATTTGAATGTAATTTTGTTCTTAGAACACCAATCTTTAGCCCTTCCTTATAATATCTTTTATAAATGGTAGCTCTCATTACGAAAAACCTTCATGCAGCTGTGAGCAAAAATAACAGTAGCTGAAAGAAAAATAACAAAGAAAGAAAGCAAAGACAGGAAGAAAAGAGAAGCATGAAAATGTATTTTAGATGACTAAGTAGTCTTATTCATTGTTGCTAGAAACCAATCCTTTCTGCTCTAAATAAGTCAAAATAATAATACAATGAACAGAGTCAATCAACAAATGTAACCGTATATCTGTGGATATACAGCCTAAGCATTCATATCTAATATGTAAATAAATGAAATATATGTGTGCTCTAATTTTCTGCCCTCTAGGATTGTCAAATAAAGGCATATGTAAATAAATGAAATAGGATATGTAAATACATGAAATATATGCATGGTCTAATTTTCTGCCCTCTAGGATTGTCAAATAAAGGCAAATTTAATCAGTCACAAATAGGAAGCAGTCTCAAAGAGCAAGGATAAGGAAGAGTCTGGGACAAGAATGGAAAGGTGTGCTTAGAAGAATGAATCTGTCAACGATTTAAGTACTTTATATCCTTCACAATTGCTGTCTGCTAAGGATTGAATATTTGTCCAAAGTTCGTATGTTGAAATCCTAACCTTCAATGTGATGGTATTTGGAGGACAGCATTTAGGAGGTAATTAGTTCATGAAGGTGGAGTCCTCATGAATGTGATTTTAGTGCCCTTATAGAAAGAGACAGGAGACCTGTCTCTCCCTGCCTGCTCTCTGCCATGTCAGGATAGAAGGTGAAGATGGCCATCTGCAAACCAGAAAGCAGGTCCTCACCAGGCACCATATCTGCTGGCACCTTGATCTTGGGCTTCCCATCATCCAGAACTATGAGAAATAAATGTTTGAAGCCACCCATTCTATGGTATATTTGTTATAGCAGCCTGGAATGACTAAAACAGATTCCTACCTATATTTCCTACCTCTTCTCCCTCTTCTGCCCTATGGAAACCCTCCATTCCAGCCCACCTGCCCTTTCATTATTATACAAATTGGCTTGATTTTCCAAACAAAGTTGTCCTAGAACCATCAATCTCCTCATAATCAGATCCCTGATCCCAAGGTCTAGAATCTCTGGACCTAAGCCTCCTAATACTGGCATCTATTTGTCCATCCCCTAAAACCTCCAAGGACCACTGGTCTTGGGGTCAGAAGACAGGGATCTGAAAGCATATCTTATTATTTGATCATATGACAGACATTCTCATTCAGGGCTAACACTTCTTAAAAGCAAAATGAGAGAAATAGACTACATAATTACAAAAGCTCTTCCACCCTATTTCATGACTCTAATTCTCACCCCAATTTTTTCAGCAACTCCAGTACTACTAGGAATAGTTATAACATTTTCTTTTTCTACATAAAAGGACCAGGCAGCAGAGGGGTAAGCCTCCCACTAGTAGTGGTCTGCTGTGAGCCCCCATAGAGTTTTGTTGTTTATATTGTAACAGGACCATCGCCATATACTTGAGAGGTGATTTCTTACAATATTTTTTCCACTCCTGTTGGAGGTTTGACAACCAGCAAGACAAGCTGATACATATGTGATTCCATTTTCACCACACATGGGTTCCCATTTTGTCTCTGAACATTTGCATCTTGAGTTGCAATCTGAAAAGAGAGCTCGTTCATGATAAGAGACAGGTTTGGTTCTGAAAAGAAATATAACAATATAAAATATTACCTCTTGGCAGGTAGCACCCAAATATTTTCAAAAAAATCAATGTTCTTGAGTGATATAAATGATACTACCAACAAAATTTGCCTTTTAGAAACACAGTTGTCATCAGAAATGCCAGCTTCTGGTCATGAAATGTAAGTTTACTAATAAAAAACTTTCTTTTGAAAGTTATCTTTAGAGGTTTACAAATTCACATGATGTCCAATTCTTAGCTTATAGGTTTTAGTCTACTGCCCCTAGGATTGTCTAATATATTTCTGTGCAAAGGTGTACAAAAATAGCTAACAAGGTAGAAGAGTAAACTTTTAGAGCAATTTATGACATTACTTAAATGCATCACAGGTGGTGTGTGTGTGTGTGTGTGCAAATTTCATTCAGAATTGTGGTCTAAGTGTGAGTGGAATGGCTGTTGCTAATGGTCCAGTAAAAGCAAAAATAGCCAATCAGTTATCAGTTAATTCTCTTTCGGTGTTTGCAGGAGTTACATGTCCTCTTGCATATGTGTTACCAATAAGTGCATTCCCAGTTCATTCAACCTTTCTCCCGTGTATCCTACCAGTGTGTAGTGCTCTTTCTTAGCTGGTAGCATCCTTTCTTGCTCAAATTCACAAGTAAGTTCAATGACTTACCCATTTATTTGTTCATAAAATTTTACTGGAAGCCTACTAAATGCTAGCTCTGGGAGAATAGGAGACAGTTACAAATATTAATGAGACAAAATTTGTCCCCCTCCAATTGACTTTTTTGAGTTATTACACAAAATTTTGATTGCATTCTTTCTTTTCTCCTTCTTTTTTTTTGTTCTCTGCCATTCGCTCTTATATTTACCCTTCATCTCTCCCAGTATTCTCTCTCCCTCACTTTTTTTTTCTGTCACGTGAATGGCCTAATCCTTCTGCTTTTATCCTTTTTATTATTCATATCCCTCTATTCTTCTCAAAGGGAACTTTTGCAATGGTAAGTCATTTCTATCTGCACCATATGTGCCATTCATTGGTCCTCCATACTTCATTCTTTCTGCTCCTTAGTTTCAAATGTGTTTATTTATTTGTTTATTCCTCCTCTTCCCCCCTCCATTTTTAAAAAAAATATTTGAGGAGCTTAAACAAACAAGAAATACACTGAAATATACAATCAACAGAGGTAGGAACTACATTTTTATTCACTCCCATATCTCCAGAACCAAGAATAATTCCTGTCATACAGCTAGCTAAGAAATAAAACTTCTAGTAAGTTAGTCAATTAAAAAAAATACTTTATTTTGGAGAGAGAAATTAATCACTTGGGATTCTGCCTCTGAGAAGTATTGTCATTAATGATGGCAACCATAATTTCTTAATCAATATAATACTCCGTCTAGTAGAGCTGGTATGATGAATTCTGTCACCTCAAAAGTACAAACCAAAGACCTCTGAGATGTCTCCAAATAGTGTGAAAGGGTACTGAACTAGGCCTTCCGAGATGTGCTATAGGAATATTTAATCCTATTCCCTTCCATAACATTTTAATTGTTAACTGAGACTGTTTGTAATATCTGAAAGTATAAAACTTGCTCATTCACACTGCTTGCTAGTGACAAACCTGGAAACAGAACCTTGCAAGCCCTCTTGATTGTAAATTCTTATGTCACATCAGAGTTATCCTTGTTATTGCAGAAGAGAGATTTCCTCCATTATCATATCTAAAGCTTGTCTTCAGTTTTCCTATTGAATATCCAGGTCAAGACAGCATTTGGAATAAAACAACATGGAAAAACCTATGGGAACCATTTTATATTTTATAAAGAAAAATATTTTATATGATTGAGAGTAAGTTCAATTTATCACCAGGAGCAGGAATCAACGACATACATGTTTTCTGAAGGATGTGCTGACAGTAGATTTGTAATTTAGAATTTTAATTATAAGAAGAGTTTTGGCACATATCCCAGAATGTTTATACCCAAATGAGATTTTCTTTCAAAATAGTTATTTTGAAAGACGAGAGCTTTTCCTTAAAGGTTAAATCTTTGCCTTTGTTAAGAATATCCTCAAAAATATACAAAGAAATTTCAAAAGAAGAGCCTTAGAATGTTTTAAACAACAATAGCATTACTGCAATAGTTATAGTCTTTCAAGGTGACCACTTTGAAGAGGCTAGTACTCACTCAATGAAAATGTTACCTTTTATTTCTTTAAAATATTTAATCTTTGATTATGTAGGAATACTTTTAATGGAAATCTCAAAGTTTACTTTTGTTGTCTGCTTTGTGTTTACTTTTGGCTTAGAAATTATAATGTAGAAAGAACGTTCTACTTTGAGTCATGCCTGTGTTCAAGTCCCAGATCCATGCAGTTGCCTTTAAACAAGGATAACAAAACTAACCTCATCAAGGTGTTCTGAGGATATAAATGAGATCATGAAAGTTAAGGTGTTTTGGAAATCACAAACTATAAAGTCCTCAACAACTGTCCCTCTACCGTGAGGATTTCTGGGACAGTTAAAGATGGCACTGGGCTTCTGCTGTCTCCAAATGGAAGAATCTTCTTCCATTTCATGGTTACAACTAACATTCTTAATCCACATCGCTGACTTTCACTAAGGCAGCACTACATTCAGCTGAGTCTAACAATGTGGCTGTGATAACTCCCAGAAGCCATAATTTATGAACTTTGCATTAACCAATTTTCCTGAACATTGTAGACAGCCAAAACTATAACAGGTGCTCATTTAGCAGCAGGTGAAACCAGGTTAATAAAGGTGATGGAAGTTGGAACATAGAGACAAGACAGATAAGCAGTAAAGCAAGAGTAGGAAGGGAGATGGACAGCAGGCTGTAAGCAAGAAGCCACAGAATAGGCAGGAAACAGAATATAGTGTCAGGAGCATTTGCCTTTGAGCCACAGGCAGAGTTTCAGGTGGCTAGGCAGATACAGTTGGAGAGGCCTTCCTGGCACATGATGGAGGCTTGATATTTTTTTAGAAAACAAATAATTCATAGATAGGTGAAATGATGAAGAAAGTTACCTCTGGAAACTCATGTTAAGTGGTAGAGTGATGGGAAAGACTCTCAATGGGCAAGGGCAATATAGTCCCTACAAGATCCAACCTTGTATTGAGAGGGACTCTGGAAACCAAGCAATGTAATCACCCACCTCATACAAGATGGCAGGCCTGAGGGCATCACTAAATATTCTCCTGACCAATTGCAAGACTCTCAGCTAAAGATAACTTTTATGGGGAGCACTGGGTTGAAGGACAGACACTCTTTCCCAAAACTTTACATGATTCAAGCACAACAGCAACTATGGAGGATTGCAAAGAGGTAACTCCAGTTCCTCAGATGTCCAAAGGAGAAAAAAAACTATTGTTTCCATGAATGGCACATTTATTTTGTGTCAGGCAAGTAGTATTCACTTTCATATATGTTAGCTTGCTTAAACCCTACAAAGCTTTAAAAGGTAGTTATTCTGTTTTTAAGATGGGAAAATTGAAATTGGATTAGTTTAAACCATATGTACATCATTTCATTAAGAATAGACAGAGGCATGATTCAAGGTTTGTGTTTCCACTATCATGTTGTTTTTCTAAATTAATCAGGTTGTTAATCTGTTACACTAAATTAATCTCTAGTGTAAAATACGGGTTTAGCAATTTTTGTATTTCTCTAAAATCAAAGGAGATGACAAATTCTGGTGACAATAACAGATTCTAAATATTGTCAGTTATTCCATAGTTGTGATGTTTAAAAATCAAATTCCTTTTTGCAGCTCTACCAATAATTGATTTAGTTAAACAAACCAATATCCTCAAACTATTTAATGAGGGAACATACCCTTGGTAGGAGACAGTTAGTCCTGCCACATCAGAATTTTCACAGCCCAGTGCAAACAGGGAAAGGAATAGGAGGTAACCAAAGACAGACGATCCCAAGTAGAGTTTTGCAGCTCCACACACACTGATTCTGAATTTTTTCATAGCTATCCCCCCAGAGAATATTCCAAGGGCCACTGCTGGAATGTTGATGAGCCCTGAGAAATGAGAAAAATATATCATTTGTGAATCTCTAAAAAAGATCTGAGTGCACTAACACAAACTTTCTAAAGACTATTTTGTCACTTTAAATTATAGAAATATTCAGTCACTATCATCTACTGACATATACGAAGGGTGTATGATGAGTGTCTAGGTTATAGATTAATGGTGGTACAACTGTACAGTCTCAGGTTCTGTCTAGCACAACGTCTAGCACAGAGTATTAAATTAATAAATACCAAATGAATCAATAAATCTTTCTGGTCTTTCTGGTCCAATTCCAGCATTAACAAGTACAATTAGGTGCTCATTAATGTTCTTTAACATTGTATATAAAAAATAACAGGCACATAGAATATAGAAAACTTTTTTTTTTAAGTCTTGGTTTCTATTTTCTGCCTCCCACCCTGGCAAAATTTGTTTTTGTTGAGCCAGCTTCTTAGCTTTGAGTGTGGTATCCTTCCTAATAACAACCACTACCACCTATATTTATTTGCTTATAATGTGCCAGCCACTGAACTGAGCATTTGATATGTTAATATTATCACATTGAATTTTCACCACAACCTTAAGAGTAGGCATATTATTAGCTTCACTTCAGAGAGCTATTTGTTCACAGTCACAGTTAGTAAGTGGGCAAAGTAGCTTTGAATGCAGAGAGTCTGATGTCAAGTCCTACGCTTTCAATCACTGCTATGTTGCCTCTCCTTCAGGGGTTTGGGAAATAGTATCCTTGATAAATAGATGTATGTTATCTTTTTTGATAGATGTGCAACCTCACTAGTAATCTAATAACTGTGAGCTGTAAACAATACTAGGAAGAGGTTCAACTTAGTAGTTAAGAGCTTAGACTCTGGAATCCCAGCTGCCTGGGTTTAGATCTCAGTTCCACCGCTGAATAGCTGTGCAACTGCAGGTAATTCTTTGAATGTCTCTAAACCTGTCTCCTCACCTACAATATGGAGGTAATAATAGCATTGTAGAGGTAACTAAATTCCATTATTTATGAAGAGTTATCAGCACAACGTTTAGCACAAAAATATCATGCAATTAATTTCTATCCATTCAATTTACGAAGATGAAAATATTGGAGGTGGGGTAGGGAATGGAACCCTTGTATTGCAAAAGACTTGGGAAAAGAGGCACTTTGGTGCCATATGTTGGATTGCAAATGGTGTAACTCTAAAGAAGAACAATCTGGCACTCAACAATAAATAAATTCTCTGCTAATTAGAATTTATTTCTCATATTGTCTACCTATCAGTCATTGATGTCCATGTTTTCTTGAGGTTTTGAGATAATCTATCTCTTTCAAATAATGAAAGGGCTAAAGTTTGCATGTACTCTAGTCAACAGATAAGGTTCAAAGACAAAATCAGCATTTGCTGTAGTAAAAAACAATCTCAAGAACACAAGTCTGACTTACAACCCAATGTGAAATTGTAAAATAAAAATGAAAATACTGACATCTAGTGATAATGACATGCAAATTTTCTTCTTTCTTTCCCTTTTTTTTTTGTTCTTTTTAAGTTTATATATTTAGTTTCTTAACAAAGCATCATAGAACCCCAAATGTCAACATATAATGGTCTTTGGCTTGCTATTACATTATTTAAAAAAATATATTGTGGGAGATCAGTCAGAGTGGCAGAAGAAATTATAGGAATAGAAAGAAGCAGACCCTCTTGGAAGACCGAGCGTGGTTTGCATAACTTCAGATAGTTTGGCTGAAGGCAGCCAGATTCTCTTTTCAGGAACCAGATAGCTTAGGGTGCAGATACAAAGGAATATAGGGGAGTTTATCTAAATAGCTTATTTACTCATGTGGTCCTAAAATCAACCTTTGATCGCGGGCAGGATGGCCATCTCCGGGGTGGGGGCAACCAGGTTAATTACCCACAGGTGTGTTGACTCAAAGCCTTTGCCAGTTAAATCTGTACTAAACAAATGCAAGCGTTACCAGCTTGGAGGGGCAGCAAACTCTGTTGGGCCCCTAGTGCCGGCAGCCCCCTGGCCCACTGTTATAGTGATTATCTGTGTCTGAGTACCTGTCTCAGCTGTCATGCAGCTGGGGACTGCAGGACAGATCCCCGCAAAATATTTCTAACATGTACAGATGATAACAAAGGGACATTTTGATTCATCTGTTTTTATTTGACCATAGGTTGTATAAGTTAATATTTAAATTACCATATTGGAAATCAGCCCCTTAAAAGGGGCATGATCATGAAGTCAGCGAAATGAAAAAGAGAAGAAATGCTAACTTTTGCTTTTCCATCTGAACTGAGGTTCCTGGGTATGGTAAGCAAAAGAGATGAAAATCTGGAAACCTGAACAGCCAAAAGTCAACTTAGAGGCACCTGATTACTATTTTAAAAACAATGAAGAGATTATAGAAAATATATATCAACAAACCCAGTTATTTAGGGCCCAATTAATTAATGTTAATGTTTTCTCCTAAATTTTCTGATTTTTTAAAATGTGGAAGTAGATAAAATTAGTTTTCCCTTTGTTTCAGGTTTCATCTTCCTTCTCCTGAAGTAAGTGCTGCTATGAATTTGACATATATCCTTGAAGTGCCTACTTTTACACACACACATACACACAATGAATATATAAAACATAGTACCTAACTATGAATGCCTTCCACAAAGCCAAAGCTGACACAAACAAGAGTCCTACATTTTCACTCTCAATTCCATCTCCAAATTGGTTTATGAAAAAAGCATCTTCTGAAAACCAAACTCCAAACTGAAACCTTCAGAGCATCTTTCTAGCATTTTATTTTATTTTGTAAAGTACGAATTGAACCTGGTACTTAAGGAGTAATAACACAAGGTGTAGCCTTGTCTGTAGCTATGTGCCGTGTTGGATTCCATTGACATCCCCCACCCCTAGCAGCCTAGAATAGCCTGAGAACTGAAATGAGATAATCCTAGGGACATCTGCACCCTCAGTATAAATTATTAAAAATCAGGAATATCCTTTCCTGATTTACCTCTTTTTGGTGGACAGTGTTTCCTTGAAACTTCCAGAATATTTCTTGACTCTAGATCCTTCCGCACAAGATATTTGCTTTGTCTGATATAAACCTCTACCCTCTTTCTTACATTTTCATCTTTTAATACTTTCTTATCCTTTTCTCTTGATTTAGGTATCATCATCTTCTGCTTGAAAATTCTTCCTGGCTCCAAGATTAGGTTTGTTCTCCCGAGTACTCTGAGTTTCCCCCAAGTAGAGTTCCTTCTCACAGGTTCCACCAGTCATATGGGGCTTCCAGAGGACACATTTGGCACCAGGGCTCACAACTTGGTCATCAGAACCTCATTTTCTCGCTCATCAGGTGTTCCTTGTGCAGGGGCCCATAGGCAGCAGACTTCGTGCTTTAACAAATTACCTGCTAGTTTTTTCAATTCATGTATCCCAACCTCCAACCAAACCCTCAAAGAAAGAACGGTGAATTGAATTGAATCCCATGTTCCTTCAATGGTTTCCAATAAAATGTGCTAAATGAATAAACCTTAGTGTATTAATATATAGCATTCTCCTGATATCTTACTCTCCTATTTCAAGATAACTAAATTATAACACAATTCCAAAAAATATTAGTACATTTCAAATATAATGTTGGTTTGATTCTCCCTTTCAAATTTCACAGGATGTATTAAGTTGTCCATGGTGGGTCAAGTTGATAACAAATTTGCTTTACATCATATAAGATGTGTTTCTTCCCTCCCCAGGCTTCTCTTTCATTTTAGGTATTTTTAAATCATTTAGTGAGATAAAAATTAAACTTTGATTTATTCTCCACCCACATCATAAAATATGTTGATAGAAAAATTTTTACCATCTACCATTAAGGAAGTATTCAAAATGGAAATATTAATTTACACTAGTGTCTAAAATTTGTTTCAATTTATTTTCTGTGTTTTCTTTTGAATTCAACATGCGTATTTACCCAAATATCAGAAAAACTTAGAGAAATTTAAAAGCGAATTTATTATTATATTGCTATATTTTATTACATAATTATTATTGTTTTAGCACACTTATAAGGTTAAAGATCTTATTCCTTGAGACTGATGTAAAAAGGAGTTATAAGGGATGTGTAAAATGTTTGACTAGAATACAGTAGACTAGAAACTAGAAACTTTGATTTCCATACCGATGCCTTGGATTGAAATAGTTATGAGTTATAATAATAGTACTTGGAGATGTTTTAGAATTTCTATCCTAGTAAACTTCATGTTATATCCTGGACTTTCACAAGAATAATAATAATGTTTTCTATAAGCAACTGTCCTTCAAATAATTCTCTTAATTTTTTCTTACTTGTCTAACACCTCCAAAAATTGAGAGTGATAATCATTGTCATAAATGATAGTTGATATATCTTGTCTACTAGAGGTCTACAAAAGGCATTCTAAGAAATTAAACAAAAATGACTAAATTATTACAGTCTCTGTATTGAGAAGGAAAAGATAAGATCATTTGTATGTAACTTAATACTTATAGGAGAAGCTTAAATTGAAATAAAGCCACACACCTACAACCATTTCATCTTCAACAAAGCTGACAAAAACAAGAAATGGAAAAAGGACTCCGTGTTCAATAAATGGTACTGTGATAACTGGCTAGTCATATGCAAAAGAATGAAACTGGACCCCTTCTTATCATCATATATAAAAATTAACATGGATTAAAGACTTATGGGTAAGAATCTAAACTATAAAAATCCTGAAGAAAGCCTAGTAAATACCCTTCTCAGTATCACACTTAGCAAACAATTTATGTCTTTGTCCTCAAAAGCAACTGCAACAAAACCAAAAATTGGTAAGTTAATTAAACTAAAGAGCCCTGCACAGCAAGAGACACCATCAAGGAAGTAAACAGAAATTCTACAGAATGGGAGAAAATATTCATGAACTATGCATTTGATGAAGATCTAATATCCAGACTTAACAAGAAAATAGCATATAACTCCATTAACAAGTAGACAACGGACAAGCACAGACACTTCACAAAAGAAAATATGTGGCCGGGTGTGGTGGCTCACGCCTGTAATCCCAGCACTTTGGGAGGCTGAGGCGGGCGGATCGTGAGGTCAGGAGATCGACACCATCCTGGCTAACACGGTGAAACCCCATCTCCACTAAAAATACAAAAAATTAGCCGGGCACCTGTAGTCCCAGCTACTTGGGAGGCTGAGGCAGGAGAATGGCGTGAGCCTGGGAGTCGGAACTTGCAGTGAGCTGAGATCGCGCCACTGCACTCCAGCCTGGGCAACAGAGAGAGAGACTCCGTCTCAGAAAAACAAAAAAACAAAAAACCCAAAAAACAAACAAACAAACAAACAAAAAATCATGTAAGCAGCCAACAGAGATATGAAGAAATGCTCTTCAGAAATAATCATCACAGAAATGCAAATAAAAACCACAATGAGAAACCATCTCACATCAGTCAAAATGGCTTTTGTTAAAAAGTCAGAAAATAACAGATGTTGGTGAGGCTGAGGAGAAAAGGGGATACTTGCACATTTTTTGGTGGGAATGTAAATCAGTCCAGCTATTTTGGAGAGCAGTTTGGATATTTCTCAAATAACTAAGAGTTGAACTAACATTTGACCTAGCAATCCATCAGTGGGTATAAATCGAAAAGAAAATAAAGTATTCTATCAAAAGGACACATGCACCCATATGTTCATCACAGCTCTATTCACAATAGCAAAAACGTGGAATCAGTCACCCATCAACAATGGATTGAATAAAGAAAATGTGGTACATATACACCACGGAATATTATGCAATCATAGAAAGAATGAAATCATGCCCTTTGCAGCAACACAGATGGAGCTGGAGGCCATTATCCTAAGTGAACTAACTCAGAAACAGAAAACCAAATACTACATGTTCTCACATATCAATGGGAGCTAAATATTGGACACACATGGACATAAAGTTGGGAACAATAGACACTGGGAACTACTAGAGAGGGAAAGGAAGGAGAAGAGAAAGATTGAAAAGTTACCCATGCTCACTAACTGGGCGATAGGTTCAGTCATACCCTAAACCTCAGCATTATGCAATACAGCTTTGTAACAAAACTGCACTGTACATGTACTCCCTATTCCAAAATGAAAGTTGAAAAATAAAAATAAATAAATAAATGACAAAAGAAAAAATGCAAATCTAGCTGTCTATCCAAATTTCTTTCATTAAAAATCTTTTTAAAATTCCACAAACTTTAAAAAGCCAAATCGTTTCACAATATGCTTCCCAGCCTTTGAATTTAAATTTTATTGTCATTTATTTTCCTTTAATATTTTTTCTACAAAGTTAAAGTAATTAGCATGAGAAAAAATGCTATCTCTAAATTTTAGAAAGAATGTGGCTAACATTTAAAAACATGTACAGCAAGGCTAAGTTGTCATTGTAACAGTTGGCCCTTAAACATGTCAGGAAATTTCTGTTTATTCTCCCCTCCATAGTATGTCAAATGTCTTCTCTCAAATAAGTAAAGGAAATGTGCTTCTTTGTGTCTATCTCATATTTTATTGCAGGAAGATCATTATTCCATAGCTCAAGTTAAAAAAAAATTGAGAAAAAGAGAAAAAGGTTGAAGAAGAAAGACAGAAATAATATTTATTGAATGAGAGATATATGCATTTACCATGCATTTTATCTGTATACCTTCATCTTTATTTCAACCTAGTGATATATTTATTTTCACCATTGTACAAATAATCAAAGTAAGGGTAAGAGGATATTGAATAATTGGCCCGCTTACCCTTAGTCGGCTGCACCCCATACTTACTAATGTGAAACCAAGATGATCTCAGGAACAATCCTAGCTATAATGATGTGAAATTGTTAGATACTATTACTTATCTCTCACAAAAGTATTTGAATTATCTGTAGACATGATATTTCAGAAACTTTGAAGAATAGAGTTTTAGGTAAATGCAAATTAAACCACCATGAAATACCACAACCCACCCATAAGAATGGTTACAATGAAAAGAATTAACAATTCCAAGTGTTGATAAGGATGTGGGGCAACTGGAATGCTCTTACATTTCTAATAGGAGTATAAATTCGCACAACTTCCTTGTGTTTTGGCAATATCTACTCTATTTAAACACATATTCTCCCTCTGACTTAGCAACTACATTTAGCAATATAATATATATTGTATATATTATATTATCTATTATAATACTATAAATAACTCTTAGCTAAAAGCAGAGAACAACACAAATGTTCATTGCACTCCAGGGTATAGCCATGAAAAATGAGCATAGTGGCCCACCAATAAAAATGTGGAATGTTGTTTTCTGCTTTTAACTATTATAAATATATTATTTATAATAGCATTATTATTATACATTATAGTATATGTAATATACTATATGTAATACCATATATTATTACAGTATTACTATAGTATTACCATATATTATATATTACATTATACATATATATAATATACTATAAATTATAATATAGTATATACTATCTTATTATATAGTGTAATGTGCTATAATAAATTATAAATAATATATTATATATTATATTAACACATATTGAAATACATAATATTTTTATATGTACTTTTTCTGCCTTTATATTTAAAATACTATTATAAATCATAATTATAATTATAATATGATTTATAATACTATTATAAATAATTGTTATAAAAATAGTTATAATAATTATTATAAAAATAATTATAATAATTATTTTATATACTATATACAATAATTTTAGATTATGTTGTATATATTATATTTATTTTATATAATTAATTATTATATATTACATATAATATATACAATATATAATTAATAAATATTACATACATATTAATATATATTCCATGGTTTAAATATATATTTTATAATGTAATCATTTATAATACTATCATAAATTTATAATATAATCTATACATATACATATAAAATCATAATATCTAATGCTATTATAAATAATTGTATGTATAATTATTTTCATAATATATAAAATTATATATTATATATAATACATATTATTATATTATCTATTATAGTATTATAAATAACTATTAGTTAAAAGCAGAAAACAACAGAAATGTCCATCAACTATAAAATGAATAAACAAACTGTGGTATCTTTATGTAACAGGATATGACATAGCATGAAAAAGAATATACCACTGCTATACACAATAGAAAATAATCTCATAGATTTTATGAATTTCAAAAACAGGCAAGGATAGTCTATGATAATATAGTTTAGGATAGTTATTAGCTTTGGCGAAAAGTATTGACTGAGAGGAGATTTAAGCTTTCTGGGAAGCTAAAATATTCTATATATTCTGAATGCTGGATGTGACACACACACACATATATATATACACACACACACATATATATGTATCCATCTGAACTGTTTAAGGTCTGTAGACTTAACTCTTGATAAGTTATATCTCAGTATACACATAAAAATGAAATAAAATAAAGTCTCTCTTAAACTTTAAATCCTCATCTATTCATGTTAAAATCAATATAAAGCATTGATTAGCATGCATGGGGTATTGGAGAAAAAAGCCACAAAATATTTCTTTAGTAATACAATTAGTAATAAATAAGTCAATAAGAAATAAAATTAATTTGAACCAATTGATGTTAAAAGTAAAGATGTTCAGTGATGTAACCTTAACATCAAGAATTTTGGAGAAAAATCTTTTAAACTAAGAGTCAATTATATTAGCATGTGCTATGTGCCCCTTACCAAGATTATCATAGAAAAATTATATCTCCTAAAATACATTTGGCTGTTTTTTTTTTTTTCTCCTTCCAGGTCTCTTTCAGAGGTAGAAATATAGAGTGATTTTTTACAATACTAAGAGAAAATTGTTTTATACCACTGGAGTCTCTTATCGTAAAGGAGTATGTCCCAAGAAACAAAATATTTTATGCCTTGAAACAGTAACATTAAATGATATCTTCATGGATTAAAGAAATGAATCTAGATTTTTTTTTTTAATATCTAATTACTTCCACAGTGGTAGTCATCATGTATTTGTAGGTTCTGGTTTCTCTTCTTTCATTTCTTCATACTTTTCTATCTTATTATTGACTGTGTTTCTAGAAACACAACCCTTTGAACTAACCCAGTTGCCAGGAGTCAGAAAAGTTTTTTGACTGTGAAAATGCAAGCTTTGTTATGGAATGAACATCTTTTAACCTATCTCATTGTCCATTTTATATAATCCTGGAAACTGTTCATGTAAAATGGTCACTGTTTTGAGGCTTTCACTACACTTAAAAGACAAATATCCAGTATTATTAACAAATTCCTCATAAAATGCATGTTTCGTCTCAATGATATCACTTCAAGAACTGCGTGCTCTCTGGGTTACTTACCCACAGATGCGAATAATTCTTGCTACAAAATTCTTGCTACTTTTTGAGCTCATCTAAAATGTCATAAATTACCTAAATCTTGGAACGATCTTCTCTAAGATTCCCGAGTTAATCAGGTACATCTAAGAGAGTCCCTCTGAGGAAGCATGAAAGGCAGATGAGCCTACCGATTACAAAGTTGGCCCTGGAGGATGACTGTCCATACTGCTGCTCAATGTACTTTGGTTTGTAGGTCACCATGCCGAACAGAGAATTGAACTGAACAGTGCTTGTACATAAATAGAGGAAGTATACTGGATTTCCGAAAAGATTCTTCAGTGATGGAAGAAAATCTATAAAACAAAAATAACATAGACTAATTAAAGTTGCTGTCATGCATGGAAGAAGAGGTGACCTTGGCGGCAGGACTTTCCATTGTCACAGAGTTTGGGAGTAGTCACAGCTTGGCGCACACTTACACTATGTATAGTAAGCCACTGGCATGCATCAAGCCTGCGATCTGGCTAGGTTCAAATCCAGACATAGGCACTCATTTCTACAGACGTGCAGTATAGGTTATATTAAAGGTAAGAGTCAGAAAAGAACAGATTCCTCCAACTGATGTGGGCAAAAGATGAAAAGGATGAGAACACCCCCCTCATCATCCAGCTGGGAGTCACAGGCAGGACATGAAGACCTTCACTTTTCTTGTCTCTATTCCTCAAACTTATCTTGTGGTCAAAGAGAAAGAAATATGAGAGCTATCTCCATTTAATATGTGAATTTTAGTGTGAGAAATGAGCATTGATCTTTTCCCTTTTTCCTATTATGTAGACTACCAATTAGACATGTGAAGAGTTTCTGCAAATGTAACTATTGCTTGAAGGGATACGAAGAGGGGCTGCTCATTTCCATGAAGGGGGTTTATGAGAACACTAGGTTTTTGCCTACAGAACACTCACCCCTCTGATCATTGGTGAGAGACATGCATTGATACACATCTCTCAAATGAATAGATCTTATCTCTAGAAAGGCTGCCAACCCTGAAGATTAAGCCTTTTATTTTCTGTATACACAGAGTTACAGGAAGCAGCAATCCTACAGACAACTGTAGGATCTAAACTGAGGAGATGTGAGAGGGTGCGGACATCAGCAGGAAAGGCTGTCAAGCCTTTGGTCTTTGGTCGCGTACTGCAATCAGTTGTTCAGTAATAAAGCTGACATCATTTTCCAGTTTTGCTTCTGATATGGTTTCTCAATTTTTTTAATACATGAAGGGAAGTGAAGGATATAATTTATAAATCTCCTTAAGTCCCAACAGAAAAATCAAAATACTTCAAAATCGAGAATTTTACTTACCTCTTGCCATTTCCATTATTTTTGCATTTTCTCCCTGGGGTGTTTGGTAGTCTGTGTGATCATCTCTAATAAACTTGGATTTCTCAGAGGAAGAATTAGAATCCTCTCTACTTTGGGATCTTGGTAAACTCTTTGGTAAATACCAGAAAGGCACAGCTGCAAGAAGACTTATGATTCCTGCTATTAGATAGCCAAGCCACCAGGCTCCTACCCACTGGGGATCTTTTGGGGTAATGGTTATGTGATCTGAAAGACAGAGGGGATGGCTAAGTAATATAAACAGCAAAGCTAATATGTTAAAATAATCTACTTAAAAATAAATTATTGCAAAACTCTATAACATCATAAAAATACCTAATAATTCATCTATGCTATTTTTTTTTATCTGGATATTATCACAGGCATACCTTGGAGATTTTGCAGGTTCAACTCCAGACCACCACAATGAAGTGAATCTCACAATAGAGTCACATGAATTTTTTTGTTTCCCAGGGCATACAAAAGTTATGTTTAACTATACTGTAGTCTATTAAGTATGCAATAACATTATGTCTGAAAAATGTACATACCTTCATTTAAAAAAATGTTATTGCTAAAAAATGCTAATGATCATTTGAGCCTTCAGTGAATAGCCATCTCAATGTTGATGGCTGCTGACTAAAGAGGGCAGTGGTTGTCGGAGGCTGAGATGACTGTGGCAATGTATGAACATAAGAAAATGATGAAGTTTGTCACATAGATCAACTCTTTCCTTCATGAAAGTTTTCTCTGTAGTATGCAATGCTATTTGATAGCATTTTACCCACAGTCAAACGTCTTTCAAAATTGGAGTCAGTCCTCTCAAACCCTGCCACTGCTTTATCAACTAAGTTTCTGTAATTTACTAAATCTTTTGTTGTCATTTCAGTAATGTTCACAGCATCTTCATCAGGAGTAGGTTCCACCTCAAGAAGCCATTCCCTTTGCTCATCCACAAAAAGCAACTCCTCATCTGTTCAAGCTTTATCACGAGATTGCAGCAATTCAGTCACATCTTCAAGCTTCATTTCTAATTATAGTTGTCTTGCTATTTCTACCACATATGCACTTACTTTCTCCACTAAAGTGTTAAACACCTCAAAGTCATCCAGGAGGGTTGAAATCCATTTCTCTCACACTCTTGCTAATGTGGATATTTTGACCTCCTCCTATGAATTACAAATGCTTTTAATGGCATCTAAAATGGTGAATCCTTTCCAGAAGTTTTTAAATTTACTTCGTCTAGATTCATTAGAAATCACTATTGATTGTAGCTATAGCTTTGTGAAATATGTTTCTTAAATAATAAGACTTGAAAGTCAAAATTACTCCTTGATCCATGGGGTAGAAAATGGATGGTATGTTAGCAGCCATGAAAACATTTATCTATTTGTACAACTCTGTCAGAGCTCTTGGGTGACTAGGTACATTGTCAATGAGCAGCAATATTTTGAAAGGAATCTTTTTTTTATTCTGAGCAGTAGATCTCAACAGTGGGCTTCAAATAGTTAGTCAACTATGCTACAAAAAGATGTGCTGTCATTCAGCACATCTTTATTGATCTAGCTGTAGAGCACAGGAAGAGTCTATGTGTAGGAATTCCAGAATGTTAAATGAGCATTGGCTTCAACTTAAAGTCACCAGTGGCCTTAGCCCCCCAACAAGAGAGTCACACTGTCCTTTGAAGCTTTAAAGTCAGGATTGAGTTCTCCCCTATGGCTGTGAAAATCCTAGATGGCATCTTCTTCCAGTAGAAGCCTATTTCATCTAGGATGAAAATCTGTTATTTAGCGTAGCCACTTTCATCAATAATCTTAGTTAAATATTCTGGGTAACTTTCTGCAGCTTCTCCACCAGCACTTGCTGCTTCACCTTGCACTTTTGCGTTACGGAGACAGCTTCTTTCCTAAAACCTCATGAACCTATCTCCGCCAGCTTCAAACTTTTCTTCTGCAGCTTCCTCATCTCTCTCAGCCTTCGTAGCATTAAAGAGGGTTAGGCCTTGTTCTGAATTCGGTTTTGGCTTAAGGGAATGTTGTGGCTGGTTTAATCTTCTCTCCAGACTACTAAAACTTTATCTCAATAAGGCTGTTTCACTTTCTTGTCCTTCATGTGTTTGCTGGAGTATCACTTTTGTAATTTCCTGCCAGAATTTACATTTACAACTTGGGTAACTGTTTGGTGCAAGAGGCCTAGATTTTTGCCTGTCTTGGCATTCAACATGCCTTCCTCATTAAGCCTAATTTTTTCTAGCTTTTGTTTTAAAGTGAGAGACATGCAACTCTTCCTTTCACTTGAACACCTGGAGGTCATTGTAGGGTTACTAATTGGCCTAATTTCAATATTATTGTGTCTCAGGGCATAGGGAAGTCCAAAAAGAGAGACAGGGGAATGGCCAGTCAGTGGAGCAGTCAGAACACATGCAACATTTATCAATTAAATTTGCTGTCTTATATGGGCACAATTGTGGTGCTCCAAAACAATTACATAGTAACATCAAATATCACAATCACAGATCTCCATAATGGGTATGATAATAATAATAATAATAATAAATAACAATAAAAGTTTGTGATATTAGGAGAATTACCAAAATGTGACACGGAGACACAAAGTAACCACATGCTGATGGAAAAATGGTGCCTACAGACTTGCTCAACACAGGGTTGCCACAAACCTTAAATTTACTTTATTGTATTTGCAAAATGCAATAAAGTAAAGCACAGTAAAACAAGCTATGTCTGTATTATCTCTGTTATTGAAGGAAAGAGAGTGCTTTTTGGAGCAAGATACTTTCTTTTGTTCATTAGATTAAAAATAAAGAGTCTAAATTCTGGAAGAGGCCTCATGATTTTCTTTTTTTCTTTTTTGAGACTGAGTGTTGCTCTGTGGCCCAGGCTGGAGTACAGTGGCGCCATCTCGGCTCTCTGTAAGCTCCGCCTTCCGGGTTCACGCCATTCTCCTGCCTCAGCCTCTGGAGTAGCTGGGACTACAGGCGCCCGCCACCATGCCTGGCTAATTTTTTTGTATTTTTAGTAGAGATGGTGTTTCACCGTGTTAGCCAGGATGTTCTCGATCTCCTGACCTTGTGATACACCCGCCTCGGCCTCCCAAAGTGCTGGGATTAGAGGTATGAACCACCACGCCCGGCCTGCCTCATGATTTTCAAACCTTGCTCTCAGGTTCTGCAGAGAGACCCCTAGTAAAAGGAAGGCAACCCATGGGGAGAACTTTGAAGGCTCAAAACCTCATGTGGTGGCTCCTCTATATCAGGACCACTTTCATTTCATTTGCATATTGAATATCTGTGTGAGATTTTACTCGAAGAGTTATGCCCTGCACCCTCCAGTCCAAACCCCGTGGAAACCTCTCACTATGATACTCAATTTGAGATTCATTCAAATCAGTGGAATGTTTTTTAATAAATGGTGGTTAATGCTACTTCAGAGCTATTCTGGATACGAATTGGTATTTGTATGTGTAAGCAAAACTTTAGTATTTTATTCGTCGTAAAAACTTTGTTTTTGAAATCATTTCTCATTTGCCTAAAAATAAGTATTGACAGGTTTTTGAATCAAACCAAGTGGGTGTTGTTTTCTTCCTAGGCAAGAACCTAGAAAACATTTCATTATATTCTATCATAACATTCTGTGAGAACAAAATAAACACAGGTCCCTTGAGAAGTAGACTCAATTGCCACTGAATTATACTGGGTAAAATGCTTATACTAGGTTATTACTGCATGTGAATCGTTTCCCCTTAACAATTTTCCTCTGTGTTGCTCATCGCATCTATACTTTCTTGTCTTTAAAATCCATCAGTGGATTTTAAACTTTGTGAAGTCAAGGAACTCAACTGATTTGTTCAGAGCTGTAGAATAGCACCTGGCATAAAGTAAATGCAAAATAATTGGACAGGAACTAATGAATGAGTAAATAACATTTTTGAAGCTTGCCTTGTAGTTTATTTGATTTAAATGCAAGAATTTTGCTTTCTGTTTTAACATGCAAAACTTCAAAATGCAATTCCACATTTGTTTTTTAAGTGAAACTTGTTTAGTTTGTAACGGATCTCTTGGAATTCTTTAAAAAAAACCTGACAAATGCCATCTATTTCTAGAGGGTGCATCTCACAGAGATAGAAACAAATTATTAGCTACGGAAAGATCAGTGTCCCCTCTGCCATTTATTTCCTACACAAGCAATATCCCAGAAGAAAAGCCAGTCTTGCTCGATAATATGCTATAATATGCTTCCACCTAAAAATGACTTGTAGAGTAAAAACAAAAAGAAGGGCTGTTTGGTTGCCAGTAGACTTTAAATCCTTGGTCTTTCTGTCAAGTCCCCAAATACATTATTAATTGACGTAACTGTAATAAATGTTGACACACCTGAAGCCAACAAGAACGGACAAGTAGCTACAGTTTTCAGTCTTAACTATGCTGGAATGCATTTAAACTGACAAATCAAATGTGAAAAAGGATACATTTTAATAACAAATCATTGGTCATCCACTTCTAATCATCACCTATTTTTCGTATTCCATTTATTAATCTGTGTAACTATATTAATAATAAATTTTTACTTTATGAAAGATAATGACTGCCATTTTATAAAAAGGCAATTTGATAATTTCCACACCGTTCCCATTAAAAATGTTACAGTAACTAAAATAAATGAATAAATAAAAAATAAACTCCCTTACCTAGGTTTACAAAGCCAATGTCAACATATAGTTTGGCACATAATGAGCCTAGCAGGAAACCAAAAATTGGTCCTATAATTGCAACCGTCTGCACACACCCTGCACCAATAAAAGAAAAGGAAGAAAAAAGCTGTCATTTCTTTACTTCGATAAATTAATATAATTTTAAACAAGAAATGTGAGATCCAGTCAGTAGCTCAAAATGTTTTAGCTCATTTGCATGTGTTTAGTCAACTTTAAAACCACATTGAATCAGAAAATAAGTCCTTCACTGCTTTGGGAGAAGAATGAACAATTTTAAGGCATTAAGTATATCTTAGTAAGAAAATAACATTAATACTCTGAGGAAGTTAATTTTCCGAAATAGAACAAACTGTATTTCCTAGGATTAGATTACCCATTGATAAAAATTGGAATTGCATTAATTTTGATAGTTTGTCAAAAACATTTTACATTCAGTTAAGCATAAGACTTGTCTTGACATTCAAATGGATTTCTTCCACCTTAGTAAAAAATTGCATCCATTCACTCCGAGGTTCTGTGGGATCATTAGTGAGAGCAGGACCTATGCAGATCCCCAGATGCAGCTAAAAAGGTACTAGGATTTGGAGCAGGAAAAGTGCTCTCTGGAACCCTCTTGACCATTCAGGTCAACCTTCATAGATAGGTGGAACAGATGGCCTAAAGGACACCATTTCTAATAACCAGAAAGGTACTTCTTCCCTTCCAAACAGCTCCAATCTGTCTTTCATTTCACCACAAGGTTTAAAACACACATATTCATGGCAGATTAAGTTAACTGGAAGAGTAAACAGCAGTTACTAGATACTTTTTACCAGAGGGAAAAGAGAACAAGCCCTGAGTTCCTAGAGAAGAAGGGGACACCTACGCACCTGTATGCTTCTCCTGGCTGTGACCTTTCCTCCAGTCTCCAGAGTAATTGCCTAGTGCAGGTGATGAAGTGTTTGTTGCAGTTCCAGTTCCTGATTTTACTGGAGTTTTCTGTTAGAATAAGAGCTGTGATCTTAACTATAGCCTATCTGGGTGTAACCAGCACCCCCTGGAGTCCTGCAGAGCATAGCCCAGGCAAGATTATACAGTGGACCTAGCTGTAGCATCCCCTCAGTGAATTTAAATCTTGCCTTTCTGTCCCTGAACGTGAGACCTTTAAAAGATCAGAATTTCAAGAAATCGAGACGGATGTGTGTCAACACCATAGGAAAGGGTACAATAAAAATTTAAAAAGGAGAGACTGATGTGTGTTTTTAGCTTCATATTAAGACATCAGAGAAAACCAAAAAATGCTGTGTAGATGCATCTTACCTTAGGAGTTTGCCTGTGCTATATTATTTTGGTTTTTGAGATTTTTAGTTGCTGGTCTATTTACTGGAATGTGTTCCAGAGATGAGGTAGCCTCATGCCTTGCTTCTATTTTTTTTTTTTTTAAATAATTCTCTTTATCCATTTCTACCTGCTTTTGAGATCTCAAGATTTCTCGTTGCCTATCCCTCATAGCTTAAAATAATTAGGGCTCATCAAATGGAAAGCAGTTTCTAGGGCTCAAGAAACAAACTTTTAAGTAAACTAAAATACCTAAATGCTTTAGCTGTATAGTTAACCCACTAAAAATCACCTATGAAACCTGAAGCTCACGAAGATACCTTCATAAGGTCATACATCATTGCAGTTGAGCTTACAGTTATTTTCTTTTAATCTGATGCTCCCTTTCTAATGCAATAGATCCCTCTAACTGTGGTGTCTTCATCATCCAAATCTTAAGTGTGCACTTCAGAAATGTGTGAGCTAAACAAAGGAGTTGGATATGAAGTATACAAAGCTTCCACATTTAATCTAGCATAGAGTGGAATTCAGAAAACTAGACACCGTTCTTCCCAAGAAGCTAAGTGAAGCAATATGTCAGTATTACCAATATAGAAAGCTGCATTGTCTTCACTGGCAAAATCATCCAGGTAGGCAATGCCCAGAGGCTGAATGGGAGTTTCTCCTATTCCGCGAAGAAGATTGCCCAGGAAAACATAAATCCACATGGAAGAGCTAGTGTCCACTTCACATTCTTGAAAGAAAGGCAAACCAGAGGATTGAAAATAGATCACTATAAAAATTAAATATTTATTCTGCATTTCTACATTTCTACAATATATCTTAAACTGAACTAGAACGCAGGAGTTTTTGTGCAATAGTCATAATTTGATGGGAGTTTGGTCAAGTTCTAAAAATGTTTTATATCTTCAACCTTTTAGGCAGAGTAAATCCCCGAGAGACTTCACCGAGGAACTCTATTGCTTCTTGCTCCTCATCCCTTTACTTTTTATTCTCTCCTTTCCATTTCATTCCTGCCCTGAGCTATTTGAGTTCCCACACTACAATGACATTCAATATCCATCTGGCACAAAACAGAAAATTTGGAACAAAGTCTTTCTCACCTTAATTTTTAGTTCTTTTGAACAAAGTCTTTCTCACCTTAATTTTTAGTTCTGTTTTTCAGCAGAAATCACTAGTAATCTTATTGTTCACTCAGTTTTATCTGAAATTTGAGTTTTTATATGGTTGATATTCTAACATTTGGGTAGTATTGCCTACATTTATATTTGTTTGTTAGTGAATAACCATTTTTAGGACTCTGGAAACAAATTTACATAAAAATGATAAATCCCTATACTTTACAGTATAGTTATTCCAACAAAAGAAATGTTTTGACAGCACTTTTAGAGTAAAATTCAATGCTAACCATTTTTAAATGCTTTTGTAAAACTCATGTCTTAATATGATCATGTGCACTAGGATAATTACCCTCATATCATAAATGAAACATAGCTTTGAAGGTTTACGTGTTTTAATAAAATTGATAATGTTAACAACCTCCAACAATCATCACTGCTGAATGTTCTTTCCCTGCCACGTGCTGAACTAACTGGTTTGCAGGCATTTTTTAATTGAATCTTCCTAACAATCCTATGAAGTAGGAGTTATCTTTACCTGTTAATAACTCTTAAAGTAATTTTTGACTGTGAAGAATAGATTATGCGAAGATCCAAGGCGAACACCTTTGGGCAAGTGAATCAGACTGCATAACTAACAGAAAAGACTCCTCTGCACTCATGTGGGATTCTATCTGACTCTGCTTCTTCTAGAAAAGTTCAGATGACCATGGAATTTTCACTTGTCTTGTCTGGATTTCTATTCTGCTTCCAAAAATACTATATGAATTCCTTTTCTAAAATTAACTCTAATGTATATTCTAGTCCTAGCAATTGTATAATTCTAAGAAGCTTGTTGGTAGGAGAGTCTTGTAGTAGAGAAGTGTAGACATCTTAGGTGTGTGCTTTTTAATACAGTAACCATAAGCCACATGTGGCTTATTAAAATTGAAATTAAATAAAATTAAAATTCAGTTTTTCTGTCACACTAGCTATATATCAAATACCCAATAGTCACCTGCAGCTAGGGGCTACTGTATTGGACAGCAAAGATGTAAGACATTCCCATTATCACAGATAGTTCTGTGAACAGCTCTGCTGTAGAGTGTTGTAGGGGAGATGAGGATTGTATGTGGGGCACTTTTGAGAAGATCCTTATCATCAGCTTTAGGGTGAGCCTTGTGTCCACTATGTTTAAGGAAACAGACGTTAAGGGAACAGGACCGCACCTGAAGGAAAGAAAATAATTGTCTGTCTTTCTCTGTATCTGTCCGCTAACTTGTCCTTTTATTAAAAACATTTTAATTACTGAGTCTCTGTTTCACCTTTCACCTTTTTACATTACAGGTTTAACTATTTCCTAACTAGTTGTGCTGTCATTATATCATGTCTCTTTCAAAACAAACCACCTTCCCTGACTGTACTTTGTATACAGATGAAACTGCAAGCCCTTAAGTCAGCTCCCTGCCTTCTTATTTGAACCTAAACCATGTTTATTATCCGTTATATTTTTACATAAACAAGGATGCTGTTCTTGTCCATTGATTTGAATGCATCCTCCTGAACATATCTATTACCCCCTTTCCTATTCTCCTCTTTGTCTAGAACGTGTTCTTTCTTTTGATACAGCAGGAGAGGGTAAACTTTTTACATTTCTGTGCTCTCCCTTTCCTTCTCCTTCTACATTTCCATATGTTTTTAGTCCTTTGTCCCCTCCCTTCATTCAAACAGACAGGGTTCATTGCCCAGAAGAAAAAGACATCTCAACAGAAAGTACTAATGAGAATATTAGGGGATTGAAAAGGTCTTGTGGAATAGATAAGAGATTTGGATGGATCGCAGGTATATATTAATTTTAAAAAGGCTTCCATTCTGCCTGTATACAGTGTGTTTCCTCCGGTTAGGAGTAGGGGGTGAAATCGGGAGGTGGCAGGGAAGGATTGTGGAGCATATTGATGCTGAAGGGAAGCTGAAGGGAGAAGAGGGGATTTGCTCTCCCTGCCTGTACTGAGTCCTAGAGACACAGTAAACACCTATGGATTAATTCATGGCTACTCGGAGTAAGGAAAACCTGTGTTACCTCGGCCGGGTGAAGCCCAGGCAGGAGGCAAGACTCTATTTCGGTCTGGTTCAGATCCCTGCCTTTGACTCATGGGACTTCCGGTGTCGACAGTGACATAGAAGAGAGTATCCTTATGTTCCCAAGGGTGTCTCAGACAAAGCATTGCTGTGCCGTATGCATCAGCCATCTAGAACACTAGATGCTTTGATAAAATTCCTGCATCCTAGCTCAGGTGAAAAATATAATTATTTCCATGTATCTAAGATGGCCACTTCCGTACTAGAGAGAGCTGCTGTGAGAAAAAAATGTATGAACATGGACATAAGATAGCCCATGGTGACAAGTATGACCAAACATTGTGACCACAGGGGTTTTAGATATCTAAGCTGGCAGGGAACTGATAACACCAAGAGCTCCCCCCACAGGTATCCATTTTACTCTTATGTAAGCTCCCTAGATTGTAAATAACCCCTGGGGACAAAAAGGGAGGTTAGGGACAAATTGAGATTACATTTTTGCCATTCTGACAAAAAGTGGCTGAACACAGAAATTAAATTGACTTATGGGAAAAATTTTATTTCTTTCATAGCTGAGCAATGGATTGAGAGTTGTATGTGCTAAACTAGTTTCACCCTGCTTTCAAGACCCACTTATTCAGAAGCATTGAAAGATTTTCCCAGGCACTATCAATTAATGCTCCTTTTTTTCCAAAAGATTTGATCATCTGGTATATTTTCTTAGGATCTAATCAAACACTGCTTTATATTCTAGGAATTTTTATGGCATTATGACATCTCAATTTAAGTAGTAAAGCTTTTGGAAGCAAAAATCATAGATACTTTTGTCCATCCTAAAGCACATATAAAGTCTTTTTTTTTTTAAAGCTTGCTTAGTCAAGTCAAAAAAATGATCTTACCGTTACTTATTTTGGATTTTGATTTTTCCATAACTGAAACTGGTAATTGACTGCTTGACTCTAGGAGACACGGAGAGATGCTGAGAGTAGAATTGGAGGAAGGAGAATATCTTTCATATTTGTACCTGTATAAGAAGAATGTTTTCTTCATGATAGACTCATTAACATCATACTAAGAATATTATATGCATACTCTACAAATCGTTAGGGTGCCAGGTTGAGCCTGCAGCTGTCTCTGAATCTAATTCACCAAACCTAGCCAGCATTTCACAGCAGATTTTGCTGAAGAGGTAGCCAGAAGATCTAGCTCACAGACTCGACACCAAGCTTGTTCTACCCGCGGTCTGTGGGCCGCATGTGGCCCAAGATAACCTTAAATGCAGCCCAACACAAATTCATAAACTTTCTAAAAACATTATGAAATTTTTTTTGCAATTTTTTTAGCTCATCAACTATTGTTAGTATATTTTAAGTATGGCCCAAGACAATTCTTCTTCTTCCAGTGTGGCCCAGGGAAGCCAAAATTTGGACACCCGTGCTTTACACCATACCTGGGCCAGTCAATTAATGACAGAAAATAAAAGTAAAAAGTACTCATAGAGGCTCATCTTAAAGCAAACTAATGACTATAAATCACCTCCCCCCTAGGTGAAAAAGTATTCGACTTGATAAAAGCATGATTTTTTCTGAGTCAGAGAAAGAGCCATAATTAAACAATGTATTGCCACCAGCATACTTTATTTAGAGTTGTAAATGTTGTCGAATTACAAGGCTGATTCTGGAGAATGGAAAATGACATACTTTGTACCATTTATCCTGATGATATTTTGCTTTTTCTCTGCTGGTTACTAGTATAGCAACAAGTTACTTTTTTTTTTTTTTTTTTAAGAGATGGAGTCTTGTTCTGTGGCCCGGGCTGGAGTGCAGTGGCAGGATCACTGCTCACTGCAAGCTCCGCCTCCTGGGTTCACGCCATTCTCCTGCCTCAGCCTCCCGAGTATCTGAGACTACAGGTACCCACCACCCCGTCTGGCTAACTTTTTGTATTTTTAGTACAGACAGGGTTTCACTGTATTGGTCAGGATGGTCTTGATCTCCTGACCTCAGTCTCCCAAATTGCTGGAATTACAGGTGTGAGCCACCATGCCTGGCCACAAGTTACTTCTAATTCCACCCGTTCCCCTGTTTATAAGGTTATAATAGCAGCTGGGATAAAGGGCCATTGCTTAGTGGGCAGCCTGTGGTAATGCTAATCTACAATCCCCCAGTTCTACTCTTGCACTCAAGTTACCCTTCATATGCCACATTCTCCACACTCTTTGTACCCCTTGGGGGAGAGGTATCTGGTAAGAAAACATCCCAATATCATCTTGATTCTCATTTTATTCCGGCACTATTTGGCCAAAGGCTAGTATTCATAGGAATATGCATTGGCATATTAATAGTAAAGAACAGTTTGTTCAGCATGGTAAAGAAAAGATGTATTGCATTATTAAAATACTCAAGTTGATAAATAGGTTACCTTAAATCTGTTTTGTGCAGTCTGCACCTCAATGGGTTGATGAACTCCACTGAAAATGTAAGAACATTTTTGTATGTATGTTTTTATGTGAATGCTTAAGAGAAGAGGGTTACAGGTTTTATAATTTTATCAAAGGTTCCCTGACCATAGTAGGTTAAGAATCACTCAATGAGGTTGACTGTTTTCAATTCTTAAGTACACATGAAACATTTAGCATTGAAATCATGGTAAATATAATTTTATTTTGTTAATAATTACAGAGAAACTATTGACTGTTATGATGCTTCAAGACTATTGAAGTAAGTACGGATATTGATCATGGAGTATTTTGAAAAATTTTTGTTATTTTAACTCAGTTCCTGCTGACAACAGGTTACTGTTGCAAGTATCATAATTATTTTGATTTCAAATAACTGGTACCTTATCTAAGTGCCACTTTTATTACTAACTGCTATCTGTGATACTCTAAAAAAATTAACGTTTAAGTTTTAATTGACTTAGTTGTAAAATGAGAGTTATGGATGTGGTCTGTACCTAAACTCTGTTAAAGAAGAGACAAAGGTGTAATTATGTAAATCTGGGACTAATATTATAAATGCTTTCATATTAGGGGCTTTAGCTTTAGTTCTGACCTGCATTCAAATCCTGACTGATGCACTCTTGACTTTGATGTAGAAAATTTTACAGTAGCCTCCTAAAGAGTCTGCCTGCTTCCAAGCTTGCCCACCAGAGTCAATTCTCCAAGCAGCAGTCAGTGTGATCCTTTAAAAATATAAGTAAGATCATGTCACTCTGCTTAAAGCCTTCTAACAACTTCGCATCTCATTCAGAGGACAAACTAAATACTTGTACTTGTCTTAACCTTACGACTCAAAGGATGGTCTGCAGACCAGCAACATCAGCTGAATCTCAGCACCAACCCCAGGGCCACTGAATCACAATCTGCATTTTACCAAGAGCCTCAGGTGATTCAAATGCCCATCAAAGTGAGAAACAACGTTGACATATTCTCTCATTCCCTTTTACTTCTCAGCATTCATCTTCTGTGCTTTCCCCATGGTCATTGCCTTTTAGCCACACAGGCCTCCTTGCAGGTCATCCATGCGCCACACTTCCTCCTACTAAAGAAACTTTGCCTTCACTGTTCACTCAGGCTAGAAGTCTTCTTCCCCAGATATCCACATGACTGTCCTCTTTACTATTATCAGGCCTTCTTCAAATGTCATGAACTCTGTGAGCCATACGTTGACTACCCTACTTGATACTGCAACCACCCCCAATCCACCACACATACTCCTTATGTGTCTTTACTGGGTTATTTTTCTCTGTAGTTCTTACCATTCTCTGACATACTGTATTTATCTGTTTATTTTCTGTCTCCTCCTCAGAAGATCTACGAGGGCAGGGATTATTTTGTCACTACTCTTTCTTGACTGCCTAGAAAAATTATATATATATATGTGTATGTGTATATATATATTTCACAAATATATATATATATACTTGCTAAATTAATAAGCTAAATGAGCTAACACATAAAACTAAACAGCCTATTAGGAATAGGCCCTCAATAGTTGCTATCCATGATTAATAGCTTTTGTTGGACATCAAGGATATTTCTGTAAAGGAGACAGAGCACAGTTATCTCTTAGAGAACAAAAATCACATTTTGGATAAGTACCCAGTTAGTGACTAATGTTGTGTAAAGATGGAAAGAAATTAGAGTGATAATCCTCAGTAGAGAGCAAGCCTCATGAAGGAAGAATTGTGTGTGTGTTTGTTCTATTTTGTTTTCTCACAGAAATAGCTCCATTACCTGGCATTGTACCTGGCAAGTATATTAAATAATAAATAAACAAATATATCCTCTAGCATATCAAAAATGTTGGATAAGAATCTGTCTCTGTCCCTTTGATATCCTTTGTCAACACTAGCCTGTCTGGTTGTCCAACCTTCTTTTTAATACATTTTTTCCTCTGATTTTCTTATATGGGTATTCGATATTTGTCACTAACTTAAAGTAATAAAATCATCTGTATACAGCAGCTTTAAGACAAAACCATTGCTGGTTAAAACCAGGTGGCTTAATTAGCTAAAAGGATTGATAACAGACAACAATGATGACACAGCTACTAGTTAGGCTGGTAACCTTTATAAGCATTTTACCTGTGTCATCTCATTTAATATTTGCAATGGCATTATGAGCTAGGAATTATTTTTAATACCTGTTTTAAGATGCAGAAAGTGAGACCTAGAAAAATTAAGTAATGTAGCCATTGTCACATGGAAGAGCTACTGATCCACTGCAGAGTGATTTAAGTCTAGAGTAATGGATTTATCTATCCTATGTGACTACTTTCACGTTTTTAATTGTTTCAGTAGTGGAACTGCTTTTCCCCCTGAGTAAACTGTCACATGGAGGCTCAATGAATCGGCAGATAACAGCAACACAACTAAGATCAAGCAGGAATTAGGCAGGTTGGAGATCCATTTTCTCATTCTTCTTTTCCATTCTTTCTACAGGCTGAACACATATAACATTTCTGTAGAATCTCAATGATCAAGGAAACTTCTGACCTGGGGAAGGAGGTTGTCCAAAGAGCAGGCAGAAGCCCCAAACCACAGAACCCCGCCAACTGAAAATTTAGGGTCCCAGGAATTCACCTAAAGGGGTAGAAAATTCTCAAAGAATTCTGGGCCCTACCTTGATTGATTGGCCAGGGAGGTCAACATCTGACTGTACTTATATAAGTGGTCTAGAAATTCAAGAAAAAGTTCAGACTAGATCATTTCTAAGTCTCTCCAGCTTTAAACTGTCCTGATACAATGATCTAGAGTGGACAATAAAGTACCATTTGAAATATAATTTTCTAAAATATTCTCTTACTTTGAAACCTTTTGGTAGTCATTTCCTTTATCAGCAGTAGATAAACACAGAGAAAGGCACTGACATGGGTATGTATGAAGACTGCTGCTTGAGAAGTCAACTGACCTGTTTTAGGGTTCTGGTTCCATAATTACAAGACACCTAAATTTACAAAAGTCATAAAACTCTTCAAGTCATGGTGTCTGGTCCTTAGCTCTAAAGTAAAAAAGATAAACTATGTTCTCTTACCCCACAGGTTACTATGAGGGTAAAAATGATACAGGTAAAAATCTTTGGAACTACTAAAGTCATGTGCATGTATTAACAAAAGTACCAAAAGTAGGCTCTAGGGTTAGAGGATACAGACACCCCGTTTCCATTGATAAAGGTCTGAGAGATACTGTTGAGACACTGAATAGTTGTTTGAGTTGATAATATATCCCTGAGTTAATTATCTACCAGCCAGTGTTCCCTAATCCAGAATTTATTATCTGTAGTGTTCATTAATTACCTATTTGACATTTACCACATGTTAATTTATTTTCAGTTACATATTTTGCCTCCACAGCTAAATTAAAGCATTTGACTCAAAGCATAGTTGGTAAAATCTTTCTTTAATCTTGTTGATATCAATATACAGTAATCTATCAGTTTTTTTACAGTTTATTGTCAGAAGAAAAATTATAAAATTGTTCTGAAATTTTATCCAAAGAGAATGTAATAAAAGTAAGACAAAGTTATCATGGATTAAGCTTAAATTTACATAATTAATTGTCGTCATAAAAGGGAGAAATGCAGTTGTTTGGAAAGGCAAGGAAAAGATGATTGCTTTAGACTTACTGCTCCATGAAGAACTGAGGCATTGCAATGAGTAATGTTCCAACTCCCATTATTAGACACCCTGCTCCGATTATTTTTGGCCTGTGAAGTTTGGCTCCAAAGTAGCTAACAAATGTTATAACTAAGAGATTCCCTTTGAGGAAAAGAATAAAACATCATAAATTAGAGAACTTAGAAAGAAGTCAACAGCATAACCGAATGAATGTATATAGCAGACCAAGCAGTGTTTTCTTTTGACTAAGCCATCTCTGCATCATTTAATTTTTTTCCTTTAATCTGAGATGACTCTTGAAATTCTCATGCTCATTACTTCAATCACCTCATCCCTTTATCGAAATATTTTAATTCAATCCTTCTACCTCACTTTACCCAATCTAATTATTTGTCCTAGTAAAATATTTTATCAGTAAGTCCAATTCTAGAAGGCTTCCTTTAGTTTCTCTCTTAAGTATTTTTTAGTAATTTCGAAGTAAGCTTCTTATTTTTTCTTCATTCATTAAAATTTCGGTGAAAACTTCTATTAGTGTTCTAACTGCTCGTGAACTACATTACGAATTATTTAGCTGATATCCTTTATAGAAAAATTAAACACAACTGTACTTCACTTTAAATGAAAGAAAATGATGAAACACATTTACACAGATGATACTTTATGATTTGTTAATAAACTTTGTACAAAAAGATTAAGACTCAAAATAGAAATAAAAATTATTCCACATAGGCAACTTCAGGTATACGTCAATTATATAACCACAACATATGTCTACAACACAAATTTTACGAAATACAAAATCTCCGTAAAATATGCCCATCTATCTCTTTTGTGAAAAATGGTTTAAAACTCTTGGGTTTTTTTTAGAAAGTAGAAATTATGGTTTTCCAAAATGTCTGTACTGAAGCATGTGATACATTACTTTTAGTTGATGATGGTGATAAGTGATTAAACATGCTTCAAGTAATATTTCTCAGGCTTTGCTGTGCATAAAAATACTGAAAGGAAATGGTTAAGCAAATGGAAACTTGTTAAAAATGCAGATTCTTGGCAAATACCAAATGTTTCTGAGTCCATGGCTCTGGGGTCAGGCCAAGAAGCCTGCATTTCTAATACAAACTCCAGTGTGCTGATGGAGATGACTCCTAGAACATGCTTTGATAAACATTGTTAAGGTTTTAGACTTCAAGGGACTTTAAAGCTTTAGCTGTATTTATTTGAGATATTTAGTTTTTAAGATGTACAGTGCTATATAGAGTAAGATCTTAACAATTTCCCAGCAATTGATTGTGATGGCTAATGCGTGGCCTTGCTTTGAAGTTCTCCTCATTTCCAATTTTGGGGCAAAAGCATGTTTCCCTGTATCTGTAAGCAATCATCTAATTTACTACTGTTCACTCTTGCCAGCTTTAGTAAATTGGAAATAAAGCAGTAATTTTTGTGGGCTTGAGGATAATAAGAATGATAGTGAGAAACATGACTTGAACAGTGGTCCTAGTCTTTATGGCTCCAAGAATAATTAAGCTCTTCTTAATGTTCATATTAAAAAACTAATAACTGAGCACAAGATTTCTCATTTGAAATTTAAGAATTTAGTAGAAGACATTGTACATCATATTATTTTGATAATCTACATGTTTGTTAATTTACCACAATAAAAACAATAGAAAATGAAAGTTGACTGTCACTTTATAGGCAATTCTCTCCTATTCTCGCCTATACTTCACCAACACCACACAATAAAGGACTCCTGTTTACAGTCTATTTCTGTTATGTTAATGGGCACATCATATACAAGACAATATGAGTTCAGTATCTGTAATATACATATACTGTATCTATCAAAGTTTTTACTTCCTTAATATCTTTTCTGAGATCTCAGGAGATATACCTGGAATATAAATGATGATACAAACTCTTTAAAAAATGAAATTGGATATAAAAATTTTTCTGTATCTACCATCATTAGCCTCTCACAAAAAAACAGGTACAGAAAGTTTTAGAAATATGTCTTACCAAACTTTAAAGTAACATATTCTTGCTCTCTTCTCTCTTTTTCTCTCTATGCACACACACACACACACACACACACACGTACACACACACACACACTTCAGATAACAGAAAAGAAAGAAAGCTATTCAATTCATCTTGTAAGGCTACTATTTTCTTAAAACCAAAACTGATCAAGGATAATATAAGAAAAGACAATTAGAGCCCAAACTTGGTTATGAAGATAGATGTAAAAATCCTAAACAAAATATTAGCAAACTGAATAGTATATAAAAATAAAAATATCCTAACCAAGCTCAATTTATTATACTAGTACAAGAGTACCACCAAGTAAAAATAAATTATTAATTAAATCACTATATAACAAATGGAAGGGGAATAATTCCATGGTTAACTTAATAGACATCGTAAAAGTACTAAATAAAATTAACCATTCATTTATGGTAGGAAAAAACAAATCTGAGCACACCAGCTTTTAAAGTGTATCTATCAAAACCACAAAGCAAGCATATTGCTTAATACTAAAATTTTAAAGGTATTTGCATCAAGGTCAAACAGAAGAGAAAGATGTCCATTGTAAATGCTTCTCTTCAACATAGTACTGAGGCTAATGTAACAAGGTAATAACAACAACAACAACAACAACAACAAAAACAGATCTAAGAGTTGCAAAGAAAGATACAAAATTATATTTTGTTTCAGACAATTTGTCTGTCCAGAAAAATCTACAGTTTCCATGGAAAATCAATTAAAACTAACAGAATTTCAACAAAATAGCCACATACAAATAACATAAAGATGGAGGATGATGTTGGTTCCAGAACCTTGGAAGGAAGGAATGCAAAAAGAGGCAAAAGAAGTAAATTAAGATTATGCTCAGGAAAGTCATTTGTCTGGAAATTTATGTAATTCAGATAATTAGGGCAAACCTGTGATGTTTGGGATAAAGGTTTTCAATGGAAGTAAGAGAACTTTTAAGCCATTTTAAGGTAACTAATCCAATAAATAATTTATATACTTAGAATGGTCTGGAAGAATTAATGTGAATTTGGAGTCATGGGTTTCTGCTGCTTCCTGTGGAAACTTAGTACTCTCTATCAACTTTTCTCTCAAGTTGCATCGGGACCTGGAACCCCAAACAAAGCTTTGGACCAAATCATTTATATGCCTCTTCAGCTCTGAAATATTTTTACATAATAATCTAGAGTGAGAAAAACATCAAAACATCATGATATATAATGTTTTGCCTGCTCATATCTGCTCTATTCTTTTATCTGCACTAGTTACCTCTTTCTCCTTGTTTCCTCTCATGATATAATGTGTCAACCTTTACCTTGATTCTCTTTGGCCCTTCATTCAACGCAGGGCCATCAGTAGAACAGGGCTCAAGGAATAAATCAACCATCTGGGCCAATCTAAGCAAATTACATAAAAGATTGATGTGATCAGGTGTTTCGGAAACCTGCTACACAAAGTGTTATCAACTGACTAGAAGCATCAGCATCATTTAGGAGCTTATTAGAAATTCAGAATTTTATTCTGTTCCTACCGAATCATGTTTTAAAAAAGATTTTTAAAAGATTGCCCAGTAATTTGTGTGGACATTAAAATTTGATTGGCACTAAGAAATGTCATTCTGGAAGGATGACAAGAGATGAATTTGGGAAGCAAATGCCTGAAGGCAAAAGGTTACTTATTCATTTTATTTTTTCTGTGATATTCAGAGTGAGAACCAAAACACATAGTATGTACAAAAAGAAATAAATTGTTAAAGGGTTGAAAAATATGTATTCACGGTTCTGAAAGTTCACCTGGTAAAGTTAAAATTGGAGCAGTTAGAGGTTTTACTATAGCGTATATCTGAATCTAAACAAACCTTAAGGACCAGAGAGGGTACTGTTTTGTTTACTTCAACAAAAAATTAAAGCCTTTCAGTTTATCAATTCAGGAAGCAGACTAACTAGGATTATCCTCTTTAAATTACTTCTAAAACAGTGACTCAAATTACTCAGTCTTTTTAACTTCTAAGGAGTCTATAGTCAATTGCTAACCAAAGACACCTGAGATTTGAATTTTTATTGCCTGCTCGAATCTTGTGTTCTTGGTAATAGAATTCCTGTATTCTTCTTTCTTGGCCACCGGGTGGAAAAATCTCTTTTATGATGTAACTTCTTTCATCATTGCAGTAAATTCTTGTAGAGTGCATTTGGATTATTCCACATCTCTAAAATTGAATCATAGGGCTCCCAGGGTGTATTGTTCTTCTGTAAAGACACTTCTATATATTTATAACTCAAAATACCAATTAGCATCTCACCCTCTTCTCCAAGAAAGTCACTTACTCTGAAGTGGAACTCTGAATTGTGTGAACCATACAATACCGAACACCTTGGGAGAAAAATTTACTGTTGATGGCTCTGAGAAAATTGCCTCTCCTGTAGAATAAGATCATGGCAAACTCTGTCCCCCCCAAAAAAGATTTTATGAATAGAATCAGATCCCAGCAGACAACAGAATGCAGAAGATGTCCTTCAGCGACGCCAATAAGATCTTGGGCTTAAAATTAAAGTCAGGCATCTGTAATACCTACCAATTTCAAAACTACCATCAATAACTCCCACCAGTGAAGAAGGGATATCAAACCTTCTCTCTATCTGAGTGATGGTGCTCTTCAGATAGCCTTCTGCCAATGCTTTGGCAAAGTAAACAAAAGACAAGGCACCCAAGAACACCTGGAAAATATGACAGGTCACACTTAGTCTGACTCCAGCTTGACACACAGTTGGAAACTAAGTAAATAGACAAACAAATACAAAACAAACAACAAAGAACAATGTATGATATCAGCTTTATTATCGCTGAAATTCAAACACTGTTCAAGGTTTCCACCAGCCTTAAGCACATGTACATTTTCAAAAGTTCAAATTCTCTTGGAATTTAAAATATATATTTGATTTTTATGTGAAATGTGTATTGAATTCTCTTTGTCTTCTTCCACTCTGGTCCAGAGGGGCACTCAAAGGAGTCTTACATCAAAGAGCCAGTGTATGGTGAGATATTCATTGGTAAGAAAGTAAATGAAACCATAAGCCACACACCTGACATCCTATAATACATCCAGCATTTGAGAGTATGTATTTCACAGGGTGGTGCGTGCACCAGCAGGGAACATAATGTACAGACTGAAAAAGTGCAACTATTATTCCTTGTGTTTATGTTTATGCTTATTAAATTCATAGTCAAATATTTTTCTCAACGGAAAACATGTCTTTGATATCCAGCTTATATATTTTGCTAGACATGGATCTGTGACAGAACAGTCATAGGGAAGGTTAGCATTTATATGAAAAAAGCAGAGATTTGTTGAGCGAATATTTGTATAAAGAAAGAATAGGAGCACACAAAGCATCACTTAAAAAGCAGCTCTTCTCCTTACTCTGTAACATTATTCCCAATTTTATTTGCAAAATGGGAGTAATGTGATATTTCACAGATTAAATGTTATATCTGTGCTTGGCATAATATCTGGCACATGGCAGAAGTTCAATAAATAGTAGTTTCTACTATTTCTGTCTTTTCTGTTTAGGAGGGGTATTTAAATGAGCCCTGGAAAGTAATTTAACCCACACGGTCAGGTAGAGATTGCTTGCACCACCTGGCAAGGTATGGTTTTAGTAAATTGCATCTAAGATAGTTTTTCAAAAAGGAGAAAACAATGCTCATTCTAACTTCATATAGAAGATATCTGGACAGAACTCTAAGAGCATCAACACTATTTACTTCTTGGTTGCTCTACCTTTAGTTCACCACAGCATGGTTGCTTTTCCTCTGAGGAGGGATATTCTGTTTTAAAAGAAGGCCTTCCAACAGGTTGCACTGAAGTTTTGCAGAATAACTGGATATTTTCTTTGGATGAAGTGTCCATTATAAACACATTCCTTGACTCTGATCTGTCAAAGTTAGTTTTTAAAGTAAAAATAAATAAATAAATAAATACTACACAATTTATTAAAGTTTTTTTATTCAACAGTATACCACAATTCTACGGACCCAATTTAAAGTGAATCTACCTTTTGTTGTCACAGTAAGTTGGCAAATGTTTTCAATTAAAATCAACCAGGATAGCTGATTAACTAATCCTGCTATTGGAACTCTGTAGCTAGCATTCTTTCTCAATCCCTCCAGTTTAAGCCTCATTATGGCAAAGAATAAATTTAAGTGTTGCCTTTGGAATAAATAATGAGGCAGAATTTTGCTAACTTTGTGGTCTTGCCAGTTTAAACTAGGAGCAAGCAGGAAAGGAAGAAGAGGAATTCAACTATTTGAATATTGATTCATTAGAATAAAGTCTTTAAAACCTTTAAACCTGTCTTCTTAGCAAAACAAATAGAAAAGTTTTACATTCATTATAGATCCTTATACCACCTTATGATTCCTGTAGCACCCAAAGTGAGCCTTAAAATATGACAAAAGAGAAGAGGTCCAATTTGTGTATTGTTTTTGTTTGACAAATAAGGGAGCAACATGATTTGTGCCTCAGGCTTAGATTGAATTCAGGTGAAAGAACAGTCTTTGATCAGTCTTAAAAAAGACAGCCTTGCTTCCCATGCTCAATTTCCCACCGCCCCTCACAGGATGGGATCACACATTGAACCTATTTTCTCCCTGTTCACATCAATATTTACATATCCTGTGCCCCTACTTCTTTAGGATTCCACATGGCTCAGTGCCTGCCTGATATTCTAACCTAAATCAAGGAATTCAACAAAGTAATTTCTCAGTCTCCCTAATATTGTCAGATGATACAATTGTACATTAATAGAGAACTTCTATATCCACATCATAGAAGTGGAATAATATTATTCTTAAAGGAAGAATGTTATGAGTCAAATTTCATGTATTGTGGCAGAAATTTATTCTGACTATGTGTATATCACCTTGACTTTATGCAATGCTTGTTTTGTGTTTACTAAACCTCATCCAACATCATTTCAATTCATACTTTCTCAAACTGAAAAATCAAGTAATAGTAGTATAAACGGTTTGCTTTGTATTAATAATAAGAAGGTAAAACATCAGAGGACTTCAACAATTTAAAAGTTAAGTGGATTCCTCCAGGGAGTGGGAAATGAGTAAAGAAAGGATGAGGCAAGGGTCTGGTTTCAAAAAAATTATTATTAGGCTTTTAGATTCATTTTATAAGCATGCGTAACTTTAATTTTTTAATTGAAAAAGAAGAGTGAGTGAAACAGAAAAATTTAAAAACAAAAAATAAGCAAAATAAAGAGCTAATAATGCTAATCAAGACAAAAAACAAAGATACAAATACATATTAATGAGATAAAACACAGATATTTAGGAGTATAAAACATAAGAAGATGCATCAAATGTAGAAGTAAGTTTAATATCTTGACTTAATGGTTAAGTTTCTAGCAAATATTCATTACCTTTATTGATAAAAACCAGACGAGAAAATAGCCAAGAAAGACATTGTCAAAAATACTCTGAAACTATTCCCTAAACAAAGATACGAAGGATAGATGATGTACCAGAAGTGCTTTATCAAGGGATATTCTTTGAGGAAAGATAGCAGATAATGGAAACAGATAATCTTTGTCTCCATTAGTTTGACAAAACTAAAATTATCTTGGTAACAAAACAGCACAAAGATAGCACAGAAAGGAAAACTTCAGATCAAGCCCATAGATTACAAAAATTCTAAGTAAAATGCTAGCAAATCCAAATTAACTCTTGTTCTATGATTAGAATTATTCTAAAAGATGAAACAATTGGTTAATTACAGGAAATTTATTCACCTAAATTACCACATGAATAATTCAAAATAAAAAATAGAATTTCAGTACATGAAAAACATGTTGATAAAATTCAGCATCTATTACTGATTTAAAAAACAAAGTTTAAGAAATGAAGAATATAGAGATTCTTCCTTACCAGTATCTGATACCAAAAGCCAACTTCCTATACCTACTGAGTAACTAGGACTACTTTTCTAGAACAATATTTTGCCAGGACAAGGAAAACAGGGTTTGGGAAACACAGAGTTATACAATGACAATGTTAAATAGATATCTTTACTACAAAACTATGAGTAAAAACATTGCCAAGCAAGAGATATACAAACCAGAAAGGTTTTAAAATAAGAAATGGATAATTATTAAATTTATGGCTTAAATTGCAATCTTCTTCAAACAATTAAATTATATAATTCAAATTGGCCTTCTGTTTTGGGGATTCAGATATCATATTATTTCTCATCAGTCATAATATTAAAGCCAGTGGCCAGAAAATACAAATAAATTGTTTAATAATAAAATATGCTATCACTTATCCTAAATTTATCTTTCAAAGATCCAAAGTGTTACATCTAGAATGCTAATGCCAAAGAGAAAAAATAATTATGTTAAAAACACTACTGAAAAACTTGAGACACTATAGGACATTTTAAGTTATCTAATATATGGAGGTATTGACAGAAAAATCACTGTAACTGAAATTCAAAAGTGATAACGAAAGATAAATATAGTCATCTCAGTTCACTTTGTGTTAGGGCAAAATAGTATCCAGCTTAAACTATTGGCACTGCATAGCTTTACTGAAGTGTCTTGATGGCTAATGCGCAAATTATTGCAAGTGTAGTATGTTCCAAGGAGGCTACAGTTCATCCCCTGCAAAAAGAGAGGGAAGGAAGCTCAATGACATGAATGGAAAGATCCTTGGGGCCTGAAGGCTCTCTCTCTTCATTTGCAACTGCAGAAGTAGAGCAAGAGTACACAGTTATTCAGAATGATTTGCATTTGGCAAATCCTTAATTGATCTCTGGCCACTTGAATAGATTCTTCCAGGAAAAGACATATGACAGTTTTCATCCAATACCCTGGGTTTGGAGCATAACTTATTCTGGAGGCCAAAGAAAAACAAGCCAAGCAGTTTCTCTTCCTTTAGTTCAAAAACATTGAATAATCTATCCTCATGAGTTTCAAAATCAACCCTTCGGATTTTAAATATAGAGAACAAGTGGCTTATGAAGGTTGTAGTTGGATCCCACAGATGTACTCAACCCCTCCGCTCTGCAACTGATTCGGACTCTGTCCAGCAATCAGTCCCCAAGGACTGCCACAAAGAAAGTTCTAAAGGCAACCACGCTCCTCCCTGTCTTCTCTTGGCCATCTCCCATGAGGAAAACCTCTGTCCCGGCTTGACTTCTGGATACCAGGATGCCTCCCTTCAGACGAGCTTAAAAATAGCCTCATGGCACTTGCTGGAGAGGAGTGTGTGTTGTTTATAAACTAATTTCCCAAACAATACAAATTATTTGTGTCAGATTCAGATTTAATAAGTACTATTTTTGTGTTGGGTGATGTATGTACTTTTTGTAATCCTTAAAACAACCCAACAAGCATAGTATTAGAATTCCGTTGTTTAAATTAGATGGTCCAAAGCAATTAAGTGACTTGTCAAAAGCTAAACAACTTACAAGCATGAGATTCAAAATTTGAACTCAAATTGGAGTTTATCTGATTTCCTTAACCAATCTTCTGTCTTATTTCCATCAAACTAACAAGGGGATCATCATCTTTCACTGATAATTTTTATGGATAAAACATAAATAGCACATAAATTAAGGGTTAATCTCCCATAAGAATCTGATGTATTAGTCACAAAATATAAAATGAGAGAACCAAGTCTTACCTGGAGGGAGAGATCAAAGATAGCCAGTTCCTTTCAATGTGCTCAGCAAGAGGATGGACCACACACCACAGGCTGAAAGAGGAAACTGAGGTAAACTCCACAGCAATTTTGAACAATTTTGCCAGGTGGGGAGAGCGTGGGTGAACACAGGCAGAGCAGATTAGGGGAAAGAAAAGATGAAGGGCATGGTCTCACCCCTGAGCAATCTCTTCTCTTTCCTCTTTCCTCCTGGCCTCTTTTTTCTGGCAGTCAGCAGAGAATTGGCCACGCTGGCAAGGCCACTGACGTGCATCTCAGCTCCCAGGGCACAGAAAGAGCTGAAGCTTTTGAGCCATTTCTTTGCAATTTGCTGCAAGTTTAAGGCCACACGTGATAAAGCTTTCTTTATGGGAGAGAGTGAATAAAAGAAAAGACCACTTGTGATCTTACTTGCTGATTCCCAGAAAACACAACTCCGCAGGGGGCAGAGGGTAAGGGAACAGAAGCCAGAGGAGGGCGGAAGTTTATACCAGAGACCTCTCCTCCTTCCAAAAAGTTTTTAAGCCAACTATTCCTTAGGGACATCACTGGGATCCTTGTGTTTTCTTTGTTTGTTTGTTTTTGTTTTGTTTTGTTTTTAATGGTTCTTGGGCTAATTTGCTACATGGTTTTCTTTTCCATTGGTATTCTAGACTCTTTAGGGACAAAGTATCAGGTCACATCAAAGCTCTGCAGTGCTCTGTACAGAAAGAGTTAATTCTCAGAGACATGATCAATTGCTCATATTTATAATTTCTATGAGTTTTGAAAACAGAAAAAAAACACACATTGAATTTTTGGCATTGTTTATTCTGCCTAATTCCAAGGATAAAGAAATCCTTGCACTGAGAAAGTCTACAATTCTAATAAATTCTTTTTCCAAGAGAAAAACTTTAGAGGATCTTAAGCAGTATTAGTTTGCATTTGTTTTCTACCAACAAATAAATTTGCTACAAGAATTATCCAAGATTCACCCTACTCTTAAGTGGCTGAGACTCTGGGATGGTCACTTAATTTTACTGAGTCTCAACTTCTTCCTTGGTAAAGCAGAATTTTTTGGTTAAAAAAAAAACAGATTTATAGGGCTGTTTTAAGGATTAAATTATATAATGTATTCAAAAGCACGTTGCAAGAAAATGACTGGAAGGTATCGTTTTTTATATGTATATAGCTATATATTTAGTTCACATAATGGTCAGGATAATCAATATTATTCAAGCACATTTTACTACAAAAGAAAGAAAAGAAAAATGGGTTTATCTTAAACCTTGCAATGAAGCAATGGTGTTTTCAGACTCTGAAAGGCCAAATATTTTACTTTAACAATCAAACCAGACTTTTCCATCGGAAATAGTGAGCAAACATCCGAATACATTGAGTGTTAGTCTAGACTTCTCAGTGTCTAACAGGTGGCCAGGCCACTGTTTTATTAAAGAGGAGATAATATTTATCAACCCAAAGGGCATAATTTTCCTCACCAAGAAATGAAATTCTCCCCTGAGAATGTAATTTGGTCTATTCCCAACTGGCTCAGTTTCACTCTCCAACATGATTCCTTTTCTTATTTCCAGAGTCCACAGTTAATGTTACTGTTTTGAATGCACATAATTTTTACACTTATTCAGACCTTCTTATATGCACCTTTGCATTGGATTGTAGCCTACGTCAGCCTTTCATTCCCATTTCCAAACTCTAGACCAGGGAGTTAACAAACATCTATAAAGGGACAAATAATAAACATTTTAGGCTTCGTAGGACCATGTGATCTCTATCACAACCACCCACCTCTGCCACTGTGGTGTTAAATTAACCACAGACAACATAAAAATGAAAGCATTTCCTAAGACTGCAGTAACAAAGTACCACAAGCTGTGTGACCTTAAATGGAACTTTATTGTCTCACACTTTTGAAGGCCAGAAATCAAAAATCCAGGTGTCAGCAGAGCCATGCTCCCTCTGAGACCTGTAGGGAAGAATCCTCCTTATCTCTTCCACCTCCTGGTGTTTGCTGACACCCTGAATTCCTTGTTTTATAGGTGTATTACTCCAACAGCTGCTTCTGTTACCACACGGCCATCTTCTCCCTTTACGTCTCCGTCTTCTGCTCTTAAAAAGACACTAGTCATCTTTGACTAAGGCCCACCCTAATGACCTCATCTTAACTTGATAAGGTCTGCAAAGACTCTCTTTTCAGAAAAGGTCACATTCACAGGTACAGGGGGTCAGGACTTGCTCATATCTTTTTGGGAGACACAATTCAAGCCAGGACACTCATATTCTCATTTTCCTCCTTACTTGAATTTTTTCCTGCAATTATTTTACTCACTTCCTTCTGTATAACCTCAATTCTTCTGTTTCTCTTTCAATTTATTGCTCTTCCCAGGCGAACCTCACCTCAGTTGAATCCACTTTCTTTCTCCTTAGTATTTCCATCCGCACTGTTTTAAATGAATGATTGAAGAACAACTCAGTAACATGACCTTAGGGCTTATTTTATATTTATAACCACTAAACTCACTGAGTCATAGAGGCATTGCTAGACATAATACCTTTTAATGACCCAATCACTTTACCTCTCTCAAATCTTCATTTCTGGTTGCACCTGATTATTAGCTGATGATCTTGTCTAGGAAATTCACTAAAAAAACCCCAGAAATATTGGGAGAAATATTACACTCTGTCCCCATGACATCTACTCTCTACCCAAATGTACATTGCTATTAGCTGTCTTCCTTCTTGCTTCTACAGTTCAGGTTTCTAAGCCCACATTTTAGTCATATTCCTTGTATATATTTCCTCTCCTCCAGTTCATTTTTCACCAATTCTAATCAGTTTTTTCCTTTACCACTCCAATGCAAATATTTTCATCAATAACATTAAAGGCATTCACAGTAATAAATCCAGTGATCAATATCCAGACCTCCTTTTAACTGATGTATTAGCAGAATTATATGTCATTAATGTGCCCTTCTCTTGGATACATTTTATTCACTTAATTTCACCACACTCCCCTGGTTTTCCTCCTACTTCAGTGGTCATGCGCTCTTAGTCTTCATTGCTGGAGTGTTCCAAAATTCAATCTGTGGAATATCTTCTTTTGCTGTCTATATTTACTTCCTTAATGACCTTATCTGGTGTCATGGCTTTAAATGTAATCTATAAGATCCAATGAGGTTAGGCAATATGTTGTATACCCAAATTTGAGTTAAGAGTTTTTCAGTCTGGAAAAATGTATACATACATACAGGAGATATATATATATATATAGAGAGAGAGATAGATAGATATAGATAGATATCTACGTGTGTGTGTGTATTAGCACTCTCCACTGAAAAGGTCTAGAAACAATGATCAACTAAGTAGCAATCAGTGCAACTAGCACCATAAATAAAGGCACCATGGATCCTTGATAAGTGACTAATACTAGGTGTAAAGATATAAGATGGGCCTGGAATATCTTGTCATAAAAAGGAGCTAGGATGCCTTGAAGAATACATTGTGCCAATAGGAGTCAGAAGCCAGCCTGAACAGGCTCCTGCTAATCAAATATAGGAAAGTTTGAGCATCAGTAAGAATGACTGTAATGGTTGAAACATGTAAAATAGTAATGGTTGAAACAATATTTTAATAAACTTTATGTTAAAAACACTATAAAAACATCACATGGTCACTTTGGAATAATTCTAAACACAACTTAAATATTAATATATTTAAATACATTAATATTTATATATTTATATGATATATAATATATATAATATATATTATATATAAATATTAATATATTTAAAATTAGCGGTATTTAGGGAGAAATTGTGTGTTTATCCTAGCTTTCCTATTCCATTCTTTCCTTAGAGTTATTAAAGACAAATTTCTCTTCATAGAATTCCAACTAATAAAAAAAGGATGAGAGAATAAGAATATTATAATTTTCTTTTCTTTCTTAGGGTAATTAATATTTATTGAAGTGTAATTCAATCTTAAAGTATCCTGAAAGGATTTTGGTAAGGTTTTGAAGTTTTACTGAAGTAATACCAGTGCAACCTTGGTTCAGTCCAACACTGAAAATAAAGACTATTCTCCAGAGATGACAAATTTATTTGTAGAACAGTTTTAATAAAAACAAGATTAAAAATACAAAATCCTTAAACTCATTTGAGTCAAATGCAACAGTTAAAGGAAAAAATGTAGAAAATATACTATAATTTTCAATCACTTTTAGATTGGTAGAACTCTAATGGGTTTTATTTGCATAGCTTGGTTTTTGTGTCACAGTAGAGAAATTGAGAAAGTAGTTATTGTATAGGGATAATTCTTAACGGTTTTGAAAAATTTCTGTTACTATGATCAGTTCAGACCCTCTCTATAAAGTTTTTATAATTCTATATTATATGTAAGTAGATTAATTTCTAGTAAGAATTAACCTATTACATATTTAATTTTATAACTTTAATTTTTATTTAAGATTCAGAGAGTATATATGCAGATATTTTACATGGGCATATTGTGAGACACTGAGTTTTGGGGTAAAATGATTCCATCAACTAGATAGTGAGCATGGTACCCAGTAGGTAGTTTTGCAGCCCTTGCCTTTCTCCTCCATCTCCCCATCAAGTAATGTGTCATGTCTATTGTTCCCACTTTTATGTCCATGTGTACTTAATGTTTAGCCCCACTTATAAGTGAGAATATTGTAATTTTCAAACCCCTAATGAATTAATAAATTTAGCAGAAGGTAATCAATGACCAATAATATCACCAAAAATCTCAAGCCATTTTGAACATACTGGTGGAAGTTAAAAGCTTGAAACACCACCTTTGAAATAGTCTTCCTTTTTACTTCCAAAGAAAACTAATCTTATCAAATCTCAGATTAGATTTAAATACCAGTACACAAGAAATATAGGGAAGAGAAGAACACGCTAAATGACACTGCAAAAGATACAATCAGCAAAATTGAAAGTAAAGAATCTCTTTAGGACAAATAACTCAATATTTTTTCCAAACAAAAAATGCAAGGAGAAAAGGAGATGAGGGAGAAATTGTATATTTTAACTTAAGAAATGAACTGACCAATTACAATGTACGGACTTTGTACACCTATTCTAAAAGAAACAAACTATAACAAGACTTCTTTGTAATCTTCTTAGAAGTTTTATAACCTCAGAAATGAGAACACTGTGGATATTTGTTGTATTGAGTAATTTGTGTTAGTTTTTTTTAGACATGATAATGGTAATGTCATTGTTTTAGAGGTAAATATAGCATTGCTTTTTGTTTTTTTTTTTACAAATCATTTACTAATGAAAGGATATATTTATATTTTCAAGATAATTTAGAGGAGATGCACTAAATATTGGGAGGTATATGTGGAACAGATTGGCTGTATATTAATTGTTTGAGCTAGGTGATAGGCACCTGGTGTTCACTCTACTATTCTCTCTGGTTTGAAT